GGTGTGCTCGGAAGAATGAAGAAGGAGAGGAAGCAAGCCAGAAATCCAAAAAATAAAGTCTGGAACAATGCATCCGGCCGACCTCGTACTCTTGATAACCAGGGTCAACATTTCTAGCCAAGGACTAAAGATCTCTAAAGAAGTGGAGGATCCATGCGGTGTAGAAGACACGGTCCATCCTCATGGGTATGGTCCTCCTCGCTGAACCATTAAATACAGAGCTCCACCGACCACAAGCTTGAAGATTTTGTTTTAGAGATTGGATTAGAGTATCATCCTCAGGGGGTATCTTCTTAGGGCAGAAGGCCTCAGGGCTAGTCATTTCTAGGTGCAGCAACATGAACACATCCTCAAGAGTGGGCCCCATCTCATACTGGCAAAGTATGAAAGTGTGTGTCTCGATGCTCTACCGGAGAGCCATGGCTTCAAGGCTAGCATTGTTGCGGTGAATGGATAAAGATCGAGATATCTTCACTGGAATCAATAATCGGGCCTTCTGAAACCTCTGACAGAAGCCCTTGTCCGAGAGGACACCATCGACCCATTCCTGCCAACCAAAGAGAGGGTTGAAGAAAGCCTTGAACTGGGGATAGTAGAAAGGAAAATCCTCTCGCTCAACCCTAAAGCGTAGCACCAAAGAAAGGGAAATGAGGGTCTCATGCCTCGAATCAATATCCTTAGAAAGGCACAATAGAGTCCCCCTCAGAGATGGAAGAGAAGTGGTAGAGGTAGCCGCTCGCCAAAACAGGTCTTTTCGGCCAAAATAAGGAGATTTCCTCTACTCAGACGCTGGAGGCACATCTCTCTTTTTCATAAGAGGCAGCTCTGATGACCTCGGGACGACAGATTTCTTGCGAGAAGACATATAGCTAAAATAATAAGCATGACAAAGAGGAGTTAACTGTATCAAATTCAGAATATCGAAATTGAAGCAACACAAATTAATAAGAATTCAAATAGAATTTCGACATCAACATTTTATTTCCTCGAGTGTCCACAAGGTCAACACACGGCAATATATGGTATTATTCTTTATTACATCAGTTTATTCTTCCAAGTAAAGTATTCACTAAATTTGAATATTGGGAATTCATATGAAGCTCAATATTAGGTTTCACTATCCTCAGAGCCACAACAATCAATTGTTCGGTAACAAGGTTTATATATAATATGAGGGACTCATTTCCTCATACTTCGTTAGCAACAACATTTATTTTAGTTGCTCTACAAATTTCAAAACAAGCAAATAGTCGGAGGTTATGCCATAAATATTGTAGTAATATTCATGAATAAAGAATTTTATAAATTTAGAGGGCCATTTAATAAACATGATAAAATTCCTATAAATTATAGAGTTAATAGTGAAATTTTAAAAAACTTAAGGGAGCCATGGCCACCTTGGCCTGCCCCTCCTTTTGTTCTTAATTGCACATGGTGCTCCATCCTAGATGGGATTGTGTCTTCGGAACAGATGAGCATAGTCTCACATTGAGCATACTCACCTATACCTTTGACTTGATCCATCCTTGCTCAGACTTGGCCGTTTGATGGACATATTTAGGGTTATTTTAGAAAGATAGTTAAAAGTCATTTTTCAACTTTTAATTTATTTTGAGTCACATTATTTCTCTACTTTTTTACATGTATTTTCAAAAAAAATCAAAAAGTCAACTTTTAACCATCGTTTCAAAACAACCCTTATTTGAGCAGAATTATCGCCCACACAATCTTTCGTTTTTTTTAAATGAATGTAATTTATTTATATAAAAAAAATTTTAAAGGTAAATTACACTAACTTCTCTCTTTTTCTATATTTGTTTTTATCAACAAAGAAAGTAACATTTTTTTAATGCTAATAAAACAACCCAAAAAGTGAGCATGATTAAGTTTTGTTTGAATACATTAGGACCTTTATCAATTTTATTTACATAACACTTAATCTCTTGCTCATCAGTAATTTATTAGTCACATGAACAAAAAAAAAAATTAATGTACTAGTACTCGTCTCTTTCATATTGAAATGTTTATTTTAGGAAGGGGTGTCCGTGGACTAGAGGTGCTATTGGGGATAGTGGGACCAACCATGAATCCTACTCTAATGATCTGAACTATTTATTTTGTTGGACCATAGGTATAGTTCATTCATGAAAAAAATCAAATTGATTCGATAATCATATCCACATATTTGGATGACATTTGTTTGCAAAAAATAGACGACAAAGCCAATTTAAAAAATAGATCATTTATTTTTTTTAAGTCAAATCTAATAAAATTGTGAGTTATGATTGTCAAATTAATTTGAATATTTTTTATGGATGATCTACACACAGTCCAACAAAATAAACTATTTAGGTTGTCCAAACAAAATTTGTGGTGAACCCCATGAACTCCAACAACACCTCCAGTCCACAAAGTAGACTGGAAAGAAACCTATCCGTTTATTTTGTCAACATGTCAACTACATTAGTTCTGGTATGTTCAGTCTTACTGAAAAGAAAGTTGGTATATTTATGTTTTTAAACTTGTGAAATTTATTATATTTTTTCTAAAATTTAAGAATGATCGGTGTAAGTTATCCTATAAATAAATGTTCATAATTTAAATATATACTGTAAATTTAAATGTGTTATGAAGTGAGAAATACATTCGTATAAATATACCCTATATTATTTTAAAATATAAATGTTTTTCTAGTTTATTTATTTAATTTTTGTGAGTATGTAGCATGGATGATGTTTTGGTTAGGTTGTCCTTTCTTGTCCTCTCGCCATCCCAAGTATTGTTGAGCATGTGCTACTCTGCCTAAAAACCAAAAAACATGTTCATATTGGGGGCCAATGTCCATTATTCCTTGGCTCTTGTTGTTTTGTTTTCTGTGCTTCGTTTGGTGTGTGCATGTAGAGATTACTAAACAAGTGCAAATTTTATATTCTACAAAAGGTTTTGTATGTGGTATTTTCAAGGAAACAATTTGGGAGTAAATCTAGATAAAGAGATTGGAATCTTTAATTTGTTATCAAGTACAAATGTGGAAGTGTAATTAATGTGATGGAGAATAGTGTGAACTTGGTTTTTTCTTTTCTAAATATGAGCTTAGTGCATTTTAATACTTGTCTTGTATTATTTCTCTAGGCCTTCGTTTGGCATGCCAAAAAACTTAACTTTTTGATTATTTTAGTTATAAAATGATAAAATATGTTAAAAAATTAATAAGATAAAATGTCATATCTAAATCATAATCACTTCATTTTTTCTCTCACAAAAGTCAAAAAACTTAACCCAAACGAGACTTTTTAGCCCCATGTAAAAATAGTCAAAAAATCAAAATGTCAACCCACATTCTAAATGAACCCTAAATTACTTAAATTTAATTTATATAATTTAAATATTCTTCTATTCATAGTCAATTAGTTTTGGGTTGGATATCTCAAATAATTTTAACATATTATCAAAATTGAATCTTGGATGATCTTTAGGGGAGCAAGTTTCCATCCGAGACATTTATCTTGTCTTTCAGTCATGTGACAGGGTCAATTAGTTTTGTGTTGAATATGTCTAATAATTTTAAGGGATTGTTTGAGAAATGTTAGATTAGTGTATTTTTGATTTTTTATATTAAAAAAAATGTAAAACGTGAGTTGGAATTAAAGTGATATGGTAGAGAGATAATATGATCTAAATAAGATGATTGTAATCCAAATAAGATAATGTTCGCACATGCCAAACAAACCCTAAGATAGCATAACGCATGGTTGATCTTAAAATGACAATGCAAAGTTGAATTTTGATATATTATTGTCAAAATGATATAACTTGGCAATCATGCTTTAATGGTATAAATGTTTTTTTTTTTTTTTTCTCACCAAATATTAAATAGAAATGATATTTGCGGACCCTACTATAAGAGATACTAGGCATCCCCCTCCCCCCAAAAAAATATATCTTCAAAAATACCCAAAAATGAAATGTATAATAATAAGATTTATTCAGAACGTGACTCACATCACACCGAATTTGAATCTACACCGTATATTTCATTTTTGAGATACATAGCTTCTTTTTTTATCCTTTGGTAATTTCTAAATTTTGTATCAAATTTGATACTGTCCCAGTTTGGGGCAGGGACTTCTTGTATATCATGAATTAATAGTAGATACTCCTAAGTTGTGTTCTATGTTATCTGTAATTATAATTATAAGTTACCTAAAAATTCAAATAATTACTCGTAAATTTATGAGTTAACTAGACTAAGATCTTTTCAACTATTAGCGAATATCACTTCGACCCCCTATTCTATGAACATGTGCATTTTGACCCGTTCAACTATAAAAATATATTACTTTCACCCTGTACAGACCATCTTCAAAGGGGGTGTATTTATATGATTTTCATAATTGAATGAGTCAACATGTGCAGATCCATAGTCAAAATGATATTTGTTAATAGTTGAGGGAGTCTTGGTGTAATTAACCATAAATTTATTCAAAAACTTAAATAATGGTCTAGATGCATTTTATATATGGATCCAGAACACACAAGTTCAATTTGAGCCACCACCCTCCTTCATTCTGGGTAAATTTCTGGTTCAATTTTTTTAGGTTCAAAACTATACTGCTTTGGTTGAATTAGGCCTACTACTACTACTTGCCTAGTTCATTTGTTGCCTATGTTAGGAGCAGAGCAGCCTCAAGACTGGACATATTGATCGGGTTAAAATATTCACTCTCTGAATTAGTACTTCAAATGGCTTGAATCAATCAAGGAATGGTTGCTTTCCTTGCATAAACAAGCAATGCAGGCATATATGTTCTATTTGGTTCACTAGAACGAGATTGTATGGAAGAGAATGATAATTTTTGAAGCTTCTCTATAGAATGATCATTCCCTTACAATAGTGAATGATAATTCTATTTGCATTGAATTTTTTCATTATTATTTTTGTCAATCAAACATAGAAATAAATTGTATTTTAATGAAATAATTATTCTATTTCACTCCATCCAATGAACTAAACATTAGCATGGGGCTTGTGCTCTGTAGGTGTCCCCTTGAAATAGATACAACATTGATCTTCCTATACCCTTCTTTGTGGTCGCAAGAAACTAGTACATGAAGGCGACTCAGGCTTAATTCATATTCATAAGGACCATAATGTAATTTTCAATGAGTAAGAGTTGGTCTAATGGATGAAATACTCTTTTATTGAGTGACTGTGAAGAACAATTTTAATGAACTCAAACAGATCAGACTTAGGCTAAGTGGACAGCATCAATGGTTCCAATGACACCAAGTGCCCTGATTTTCTGATGTTCAATTTCCCTCGCATTAGCTACTCTGCATGACTTACCTTCCACAAAAAGACCTAGAGAGGAAGGATATCGAGGCAAAAGATATTCCAATGCCCTTCTACTCATTGGATTATATAAGAATTGCGAGAAACCTGAATCTCAAGACATAATTTAATGATTAAGAGCACATTGGGAGTAGAAAAACGGAATAATTTGAGAAAAAGGACCCGTGCTGTTGGATATCGAACCTTTTGTATGGGTAAATAAATCAAATTGATCTAGATCACCAACAGTGCTTAACCAAAAAAAAAAAAAAAAGGGAACAGTAAAAAAAAATATTGAACTAATTCATGACATATATTACGCATCAGATTTTTGTTCCCCTTTCAACTTTTTTTTGACTCTCTGTAGCAACGGAGTTCACATGTAGTTACCCATCCTGATACCGGTGTCTATAGCAGGTTGGAAGCCTTCATTAGTAGCCTTGGAGTGGTAAACATAAAAAAGCTCGGAGACTATGCCAGTGAAGACAATGAAAGCAGCCCCAGCCCCAAAAACTCCCTTACTCAAGGTTGCACAAAAACGAGAAAGATCCGACTTTGCAAACTTGTCCTTAGTGTGGTATGCATTTCTCACTGAACCGCCCAGCAAGCAAACCTCAGCAATAAAAAATGTCACCCTGAAAAATATCAAATTGGCAGAATTTTGTTTTTTATTTTATTTAATATTTAGGAAAGAACATGTTTCCATATTTCCATATCAAGACTCTTGAAATTGTAAATCTTTAAAAAAGAAATGCATACCAGCAAGTGACAAATAGCACGATGGCCCATACCCTGGAACGGCCAGGTCTCAAAGCCATCCCACAGCACAAGCATCGAGTTGCAAGCATTATAAGGAGCTGACTAACCATGAGTAATACCAATGAGCCCACACCTAAGCCGGTTGCATAATTTGAATCATAAACACAATGAAAGGTACTACCATCTGCATCTGATTTTAATGATGCCTGTCAAAGAAGTCAGCAAGTCAATAGAGTAGGGTCAGCTTGCTGTAATAATTTAATTCGATTAAACCTACTACACATCTTATCTTGTGGCCCGAAAAAATGTAATTAAGAGAGAGTGAATCCAAGAAATCCCATTGTTTAGATAGAAAAATATCAATTGACTAGATCTAACTCTTCGTTATTTGCCTTCTCCTCCATTTTGATGTTTGATGTCAGATTGGCCCAAAGCATTTTCTTTATTATTACTATTTCTAATTTCCTCCGTCTCGTTTGGCAACATTTCGTTTCAGCCAAAAAATTAAAATGTCACTATAAGTAACAGTAAAAAAATGCTTTGAGCCAATCTTAGACGTCAAACATCAAAATGGAGGAGAAGGCAAATAATGAAGAGTTAGATCTAGTCAACTAATATTTTTCTGTCAAAAGCATTGGATTTGTTGGATTGTTTCTCTCTTAATTACATTTTTTTGGGGGCACACGGTAAGATGAGGCAACTTATAAAGAACTTCATCTGACCATATCTTTCCATTTCTGAAACAACTCAAGAAAGCTTTTCAGAGATACAAATATAAATAGTGTTTCCTCCTCACCCAAAAATAATATTAAAAACACCCTTTTCACTTCCTGAATTTCCTAAAATCTAGAATTCTAATTGAATTAGTTTTTCCTAAATTTCCACTTCAACAAACAAATACCTTCCATCAAAACAATCCAACGCAACTTTAAATTTAGGCACCCTATCTGCATCCGGCTTCATTTTTAATTGAAGCCAAGAGATAGATAAATACAGACACATTGATCCCTACACTAGTTCAGACATGTTTCCAATTATAAGTAGGTGAAAAGGGAAGAGAAGCAGAGGTCATTCAAGGGTCGCACTATGTGTACAAGTATGTGTCAACTTCACCGCATTAAATTGATGGAAAAAAAAAAAAAGAGTAAACTACCAATAGGTCCCAATAGTCAGACTTAGTTTTCAGGCAGTGGCTTTGGTCCAGTCCAAGATCGGACTGGACCATGCTATTGGGCCCGTGGGGACCATCACGGGTCCCGTTTTGATAATTCGAACCGTTCAATGTGTAGAACTCGTCGAGTACTATATGCCTGTAAAAAATCATGTTGATCAGATATCGATAGCTATGTAAACAAAACAGTTTTTTATCAACCGTTAATTGTTTCACCGTCCATTTTTTTTTATACAAAACTGATTTGATCACATAGCTATGATATCCGATCAATTTGATTTTCTAAAGATATGTAGTACTCGACGAGTTCTACACATTAAACGGTTCGGATTATCAAAACGAACCCAAAAATGGGCCCCATGGGCCGAACTGGACGGGTCCAATCTTGATCACAGTAAAATTATTATTAAAAATAATTTTTTATGACGATTTTTTATATATATCGTTAAAAATTTATAGTAGTAAATTTTTTTATTACGATTTTTTTAAATTGTTGCTAAATCGTATAATTATTGAGTTTTTTTGTGACAAATTTTTAGAATTATTGTTAAAGTTGAAAATTAGTGACATTTTTTTGTGCTAATTTTTTTAAACTGTTGCTAAATTTATAATTACTGATATTTTTTGTTACAAAAAATTCAAACTGTCGTTAAAAATTAACAATTACTAATTCTTTTTAGGATAAACTACCAATAGGTCCTAATAGTTGGACTTAGTTTTCAGGCAGTGGCTTTGGTCCAGTCCAAAATCGAACTGGACCGTGCTATTGGGCCCGTGGGGGCCCATCACGAGTCCCGTTTTGATAATTTGAACCGTTCAATGTGTAGAACTCGTCGAGTACTATATGCCTGTAAAAAATCATGTTGATTGGATATCGATAGCTATGTGAGCAAAATAGTTTTTTATCAACTGTTAATTGTTTCACCGTCCATTTTTTCTTATACAAAACTGATTTGATCACATAGCTATTGATATCCGATCAATTTGATTTTTTAAAGATATGTACTACTCGACGAGTTCTACACATTGAACGGTTCGGATTATCAAAACGGGCCCAAAAATGGGCCCCATGGGCCGAACTGGACGGGTCCAGTCTTGATCTCAACTTGAGACAAGCTAGACCTTAGTTTTCATCAAATCCTATTGAAAATAAGTCTTGGTAAAATTGTTGCTAAAAATAATTTTTTTGTGACAATTTTTTATATATATCGCTAAAAATTACCAATTAGTGACTTTTTTTGTCATGATTTTTATAAATTGTCGCTAAAACTTACAATTAGTGACATTTTTTTATAACAAAATTTTCCTATAAGACCTATTAGACAATAAGTCCACTTATTAGGATCTACACATAAGTACTTAAAAGTTTTTGAGTTAAATGTGACCCCATCATGCTGAATGACTTTTTTATGAATAATTTCATCTATTTAAGGTTGGCTCGATGTAATTCTAGTTTGTGGGGGTGTCCATAGAAGTTGGTGGCTGTGGAAAGCCAGAATTGCTATTTGTTCATCATAACAACTACATGTATATGAGTAATGTTATGGTAGGGAAAACAATGTTTTGCATAAATAATTCATGTAACTGACTAGTTGGAATAAAGACTTGCTCAGTGGAGAGACACTTTGATATCCAAGCATAACCAAATATAATATATACATACACAAAATGAATTCAACCAACCATGAATCTAGAACCCACAACATTGTATTGAATCAACCATGAATTAAGAACCTATAAATGGAAACCCACAAACACATATCAAGAAAAATACATAATTATGCAATTATGTAGGTATATAAAATTACGAGGAAATAATTAGAGAGAGAGAGAGAGAGAGAGAGAGAGAGGAAATGACTTTTGCAATCCTAAACTCAGCAGCAACAGCAAGAACAAAAGCAATGAGATCAAAGACAAAAACAACCACTAAAAGCAGAGTTGTTGTTGAAGCCATCATCAGCAGCAATCTTTGTTTCCACTTGTTCTCTAACAAAAGCTGTGTTGTTAAAGGTGTGTTTGTACCCTATTTAGCAATCTGATCCTAATTCGCCTGCATTTTATTTTTTTTTCTACGTCATTATTAGTACAATTGTTTTCTTTTTAAGTCAAACAAGGCCGTTAATGGTAGCGTGATTTTCCATGCTCTTTCATTTTCAACGACACAACACATACATCCACATTAGCATTGGATATACAGGATGGATAATGCTACAATACAAATCCTTGAAAAATGATGTATCATATGCAAGTTACGATACTTTTGTTGTGTTAGATACCATAGTGTCATAACTAAATCTTTTTTTTCTGTCATAACTTAATAGATCATAAATATCTTTTAACCATAACAAAAAAAAACTTTTTGATCATAACCAAAATTACTAAGAATCAGCACCACAATATGTTATAACTAAGAATCATAATCAAATATTACTTGAGGCACAACTAAAGACTTTTTCGGTTATGACTAAACTAACAACAACGTTAGTTCATAACTAATACCACAATGAATCATAACCAATACCACATGTTATAACTAAGAATCATAATCAAATAATATTTGAAGCATAACCAAAAACTTTTTCTGTTATGACCAAAATAACAACACTAGTCCATAACTAATACCGCAATAAATCATAATCAACACCACAACATCACAAAAATCATAATTAAAACATATACTAAACTTTTTTCAAAATGTGTACTATAGAATTTCTATTAGGCGTTTTGGTATATGCTCTAACACTATAAAATAAGAATGGAAAAGAAAGACGATAACCATATGCTTTCTCTCTCTAAAGTGGTCATCTGTTATGCACTAACACCAAACAGGGCAAACTAATTGAGAGGACAAACTAATTCGGTTGTTCTTGTTTAATAATAATAATAATACTAATAATAATATTGGTTCCAAACCAGTCCCAGTCCTAGTACTTACCCCAGATCATTAATGCTTAAAACCTTTTCCAGTCGATCGACTGGTCAATCCTAAATTTTTTCAGTCATCCGGGACAAATTTAAAATATTTTCATGATACACTTTTTCATTATGTGCAAGGAAGTGTAAAATTTTGAAAATTCAAATTTAAATTTTTGGTGTTAATTTTTTTCAAATTACATTCTAACTTTTCCACCAAAAAACTAACTCCAAGAAACTCAACCAAACAGAGCTTGGCTTTAGGAAGACAAGTTGACAGTTGAAGGATAAACAACTTCCAAGGGACAGAGAGACTTCTATACATAAAAGTGACAATCTTGATCATATAGAAGCTAGATCAAGATTTGAGCCTTTAAACTATTTCAAAATATTTTATCTTTTATTTTAACAGAAACTGAAAGCACAGAGGGAGTCCATGCTGCTATGATTTCGATCCACAGTCACATTTCATATTATTTGAAGCAAATTCATGAAATGGTGTCGACAAATTCAAACAAAATAATTGATGAAATACCATCTTGTCCGCCAGAAAATAGCAATATAATCATTCATAAGCAAGCACCATTTAACCGAGTACAAGTTTATGTACAACAAATTAAAAGCAATTTACAATGTCATCACTCCATCGCATAGTCTGTTATTCAAGTTCACCACAATCACCACAAAGATTAATACGTAAAAAATATATATATTATGAAATAAAATAAAAAAGAGATGAAAGAACATGTGCCCTTTCCAAAGGAGTTCACTTGTGGTAGGTCCCCATCCTGATGCCGGTTTCTCTAGCAGGTTGAAAACCTTCATTATTAGCCTCAGAGTAGTAAACGTAAAAAAGCTCAGAGACTATGCCGGTGAAGACAATGAAGGCGGCCCCAGCCCCAAAAACTCCCTTTCTCAAGGTTGCGCAAGAGGGAGGATGATTCGACAGCACAGACCTGTACCTAGTGTGGTAGGCATTTCTCACTGAACCCGCCAACAAGCAAACCTCAGCAATAAAAAATGTCACCCTGAAAAATATCAAATTAGTAGTTTTTTTAAATATTGGGGAAAGACACATGAAATTGTAAATATAAATTAAAAAAAAAAAAAAAACATACCAGCAAGTGATGAATAACGTGATGGCCCATACCCTGGAACGGCCAGGTCTCAGAGCCGTCCCACAGCACAAGCATCGAGTTACCAGCATTATAATGACCTGACTAGCCATAAGTAATAGCAACGACCCCACGCCCAAGCCGGTTGCATAATCTGAATCATAAACGCAATAGCTTCCGTTTGCATCTGAATAGTATGAAGCCTGTCAAAGAAGACTGCAAGTCAATAGAGTGGCATCGACTTGTAGTAATTTAATTCTATTAACCAACTAAAAAGAGCCTACCATGTGGCCAAAAAAAATGTAATTAGGAGAGACAATTAAAGAATCCAACAAATACCATGGTTTTAGATACAAAAATACTAATTGGCTAGATCTAACTCTTCATTGTTGACTGAATTGTCCTCTATTTTTTATGTTTGATGTCTTAGATTGGCTTAAAGCATGTTTTGTACTGTCACTGTTTCTAATTTCTTAAGTTAATAGCCAACTTATAAAGAACTTCCTAATACCATATTTTTCCATTTCTGAAACAATTCAAGAAAGCTTTTCAGAGATACAAATAGTGTTTCCTCCTCATCCCAAAAGAAAAAAAACCTTTCACTCGCCGAATTTCCTAAAAGCTAAAATTATAATTGAATTTTTGAAAGATATAGCCGGAACTGCAAAGTTTTTCTTAAAATTTTCCACTTCAACAAACAGATACCTTCCATCCCATCAAAACAATCCAACCCGACTTTAAATTGGGCACCCTATCCGAATCCGGGTTCATTTTCAATTGAAGCCAATAGATAGATAAATACAAACACATCCTAATAGTAGTTCAAACATGTTTCCAATTATAAGTAGGTGTTGGGATCTGGGATCCCTCTCAGGATGTCCAGAACAAACCGCAGACAAACAAATTTAACGTGATTCAGTCCAATATCTACGTTAACGAGAGAGAAATCAATAATCATTATATCAATGGAAAGATTATAGAAAGATTATAATGGAGGAAGAGACTCTCTCACTCAACTCAACACTCAGCTCTCCTCTCACACCGTGGGAGCTCCCTCTCTGCCACAGAGGGTGTCTGGGATCCAGGGATTCCAATAATAGGTGCAGGGGAGAGAGGCAGAGGTCATTCAGGGGCCATGCTTGGTGTACGAGTATTTTTTATGTATTTATAAGTTTTGAGTGGAATTTTTCATGTGACCCCATTGAGCTGAAATAATTTTTATTTTGTGAATAATTTCATCTATTCGAGATTGGTTTGATGTAATTCTAACTTGTTGGGGGGGATTGAATGACCCCTTCAGACAAAATTCCTAAGAGTGTCGAGAGAAGTCGGTGGGTGTGGAAAGCCAAAATTGTTATTTGTTCATCATAAAAACAATCTTCTGCATAATTAATGTAACTAAGGGAAATTATTCAATATTCTGGAGTAATACGTGTCTGTATTTCCTAATCAAACATCATTCAATATGTACTCTCTAATCACTCAACACAATACTCCACCTATCTATTTTTCCATCAATCATAATACTACGGAATATCGTGTCCAGTGAATAATTACACTTGTTGGGTTGAATTGAAACAGTTGGGTTGGATAACCATATTATGTACACAAAATGAATAGAACCAACCGTGAATCAAGAACCTATAAATAAAACCCACATACACATCACAGCACATATGACATATCACTGGATGGTTGAATAATTCAGCTATGTAAAAGTGATCTTTGGGTCTTGGCTCCATTAGGGTCTAGCCCAGAACTCACCCTTATGCGATTGCGCCATTTTTTTATTTTTTTTTATTTTTTACATATTTGTGCGTGTAAGAAATTTTAAAAAAAAATAAAAGGAAAAAGAGAGAGAAGGAAGGAGAAGGAGGGAGAGAGAGAGAGAGAGAAACTGACTTTAGCCCTCCTATGCTCAGCAGCAACAGCAAGTGCAAAAGCAATGACATCAAAGACACAAACAACCACCAAAAGCAGAGTTGAAGCCATCAGCACCAATCTTTTCACTTGTTCTTCTAACACAGAGGAGAGAGAGAGAGAGAGAGAGAGAGAGAGAGGCAGTGAAATTAAACACTTGGGAATAAAAATGATAACAGATGATAACAGATATAGAGCAAATAAACAAAAAATAATGGGTTTGGTGATGAGTGAAAGAGAACAATTGTTTAATGCAGTTTATGTTTACAACTTATTATTAAATAGAAATAATTTTAAAAAAATTAATTATCTAAAAATTGAAAAAATATATATTTTTACCTTCTATTTTTTTTATTATTAATTTTTAACTTACAGTAAACACTCAACTAGCGGAAGTGAAAAGCTTGGTGGGTTGTACGGAATTTGATTGATTGTGTAGCGTTGTGTGTAGTTGAGGAAGTTAAGTAACAAAAAATTGTAAAAGGAAAGAGCTTATAGTTGAAGGAAGAAGCTTATTGTAAAGGAAGTAGTTCCAACTTCTAAGCTTGTCTCCTCAGATGTGGTACTGTTGGCGTGATATTCAATGCTCTTTCATTTTCAACAACACAACACATCTCTATATATATTAATGTGGGTATGGTTGGTTTGAGAAGTGGAATCGTATTTTAAACTGGGTTAAAAAGTTTTGTTTAAGAATAATTTTTTAATTTTTTTAACTTTTTATAAAAGAAAGAATGTAATAATTATAAATTAAATGTGATATTTTATTTTATTAAAATAAAAAATTTATTTTATTTTTTTATACTATTTTAACTAAAATATCCCAACCATAACTTCCCAAACCGAGGCGATGTTGTGTATGATATGCTCTTGCTAATAAAATAAAACAATAATGGAATAGAAAGAAGAAGAACCATATGCTCTCCCTCATTTACTCTAAAGTGGTCACGTGTGATGCACTAACACCAAATAGGACAACTAGTTGGGCTATCCTTGTTCCAAAAATAAAAATATTAAAGATAATGAGAAATGTTTGTTAAAAAAAAAATTTGGGTTGTCCAAATCCCAATCACGGTCCTAGTCCTAATCCCAAACAATAATGATACAGACCACTAAAATATCACCACTAACATCACTATTAATGATGTGGTAAGTCAAAAAAAACAAAAAAATAAAAAATTAAGACACAAAACACATGTGGAGCTTATTGCTACATCCCTAGTGCAACCACTAATTAGTGGTCTGCATCATTTTTCAATCCCAAATAGGATGGCAATTTATCTCCTCTCTCACTCCATTTCCTATAAGCTTTTTATATCTCAATAAGATAACACTGTTTTTTATCCCTTTTGTTTCTGAGAAAATTGTTGAAAAATACAACTTAAAGAGTTTATCCCAATATATCTTAATAATTAGATTTAATTTTTATCAAATTTTATTTAAAATAAATCATCATAAAATCGTTATTAAAAATAATTTTTTATGATGATTTTTTATATATGTCACCAAAAATTGACAATTAGTGACATTTTTTTGTCACATTTTTTATAAATTGTTACTAAAACTTACAATTAGTGATATTTTTCAATGATAAATTTTTCAAACTGTCAGTGAAAGTTAAAAATTAGTAACTTTTTTTGTGATGATTTTTTTAAACTGTCGTTAAAATTTATAATTAATGACATTTTTTGTGATAAAATTTTCAAACTGTCGCTGAAAATTAACAATTAGTGACGCTTTTTAATAATATTTGATGAAAAATATCATTAATTATCATAAGATTTATTAGACAATAAGTCCACCTATTATAGGACCTACACGTAAGTCCCCCTATTTTTTGTTGGTGAGAGGTCTACCTTTATGAAATAGTTTGGTGAGAAGTCCTTTTATTTATTCTGAAGGCCATTTTGTTTCCAATTTTACCCATTAATTTAAATGTTGACTTTTCTTATCCTTTTCATTTGTTGACTATCTGTTCAAATTATTTTCTATCTGTTCAAATTTTTTGACTATCTGTTCATTTTTTCCCTTATCTGTTCAAATATCTGTCAAAATTTTATTATCTGTTTAATTTTTTTTTTTTTTTATCTATTGAAATATCAAGCCAAACCAAATTCTATAGAGCCAAATCAACTCCTTTCTGTTGCAATAACAAGCCCCTATCTGTTTCAAATTTTGAACAAATCTATCCTATTATTTGTTTAAATCTTATTATCTGTTCAAAATATATTTTCCTGTCTGATCAAAATTTTGAATAGATTTGTCCTATCTAGCAAATTTTTTTAAATCTGTTTCATCATCATCATCAACCTCATCAACAACAACAACATACACACAAAAATCATCAAAAATAAAGTGTGGGCCTCTTGGGCCCTAGGTAGTTCCAAACCCTCTTGTCTTCAACCACGGCAGCATTAGGCGACACCGAGAAGCAGAAGTCGAGTCTAGGAGTTTGAAGAGAGAGAGAGAGAGAGAGAATTAAGGGATTTTAACCGTGTGTATGATATATATTGTGGGGATATATTTTCTGAGTACCAACACGTGGCAAGGTGGCGCCGATATGTCAGCCGAGGTGCCACGTGTCCTGGTCATTATGCCGAGGTTATCTCAGAGTTGCTGAGGTTATCTCCGAAAATATCAGAATCCGAGATAAACGGATAAGGGACAAGAATCCTAGAATGAAGAGGAAACTTAGTCAAGATAAGGATAAAGCTCTTAGGGAGTTTATCTTTATCTCTTGAGGAGTCCAAAGTAAGTACTGAGCAGGAATCTATAGAAGTCAGGCTTCTACTAGGATTAGGATTGAGGTAACTATAAAAAAGAGGCACTCCCGTGGGTCTAAGGTAGGCAATTTATGCTTTGAGCAGTAAGTTTAGCACTTGATTATCTTTGAGAGATATACTAACTTGATCGTCGGAGTGCCCCCGGGTGGAAGAACCACCGCCGAAAACTCTTCTTTCTGTTACAGGTTAGCTGAAGCCATCTATTATGCCGGTGCTCTCTAGCTGATTACTAAACGGACAGTGTGATCAGAAAATCACTCTCACACACACATATATGTAGAGGTACTTTAGATATTTTGCACCACCATGTCTTTATGTACAAAGTGTTTTAAAGTGTGAACATGTAAATTAAAAAGATTAGACTTTGAATTTATGGATTGAGTGACTTTTGTGTTTTCTATTCTTAACTCAATTATGTTAATTAAATATATTATATATTTTAATATATGGTAGACTATTGATATATGTGTGTCATAGAAAAAGCTAAGCCCACGGTTGCTCAAGTCGAGCTTAGCTTGGTCTGGTTTATGGTTGAAGTTTAGTGAGTGTTCGAGAAATAGTAATTTTGGTTAGCTGTTTTTATTTTTTAGAGAAGACATGTAAAAAAAAATAAAAAAATAAAATGATGTGAGTGTTTTGTCTTTTTAATTATTTTAATCAAAAAATTAACTCCCCAAACAGGGAGTATTCCAGGTCAACACAAAATCACTTAGGGGCTCTAGAAAATGATAGAAGTCAAGGGTTAATTGCTCAGCTCACCTGGAACAAATTAACGAACGCCGTTATAATCGTACCACTATCAGGACACTTGAGAGAAATAGAAAAAATTGAATGGAACTAAAGATCTAAAATATTATTTCTTTTGTTAATTTTAATAATTAAAAAATATAGTTTTCTATCTATTTTATTTAATCGAAATAGATAAATAATTTAGATTAAAAACGAATCATAAGTTTAGAATTTAAATTGATAAAATTAAAATTATGAATTTATTTTCTTACAAGAATTAAACCTTAAGGCGGTGTTTGGAATGTGGATTTGGAAAAATGTGCGTGAAATATATTTTTTTAAGATTTTACTTATTTTTTTCTTTTTCTTTTCAAATTTCTAGCCAAATTCATACTCCAAACACAGTCTAAGTTTTCTTCTCTCTCTTTTTTTTTGTAATTTTTACATGCAGGTGGGAGTTAGGGAAAAAAAATTACAAACGCATGGAGGTGCAAGTATATCTGTGGTGAGGTGAGCTACAAATAAAAGGTTGTCGGGATGCAAATGTTTGCACCCCTTCATATGTTGATAATTTTTTTTCTCAACCATCACTTGTATATAATTTTCTTAAAAAAACAAAAATACCGAGAGTGCGAGTAATTCTCCCCTTTCTTTCTTTTTTTTCTTTTGTTTTTTTTCATGTGTTGGGTTGTCTGTCAATCACATGTCATGTGTGAGGAATTGGGATCCTCCCCTTGAGCCCCCTCCTTAATTCCCTCCTTGCAGGGGCCTTCGGGTCCACTTTGAGGCCCAGTTTTGATAATCCGAACCGTTAATATTTTTAGATTTATTCAGTATATCATACCTGTAAAAAATCAAATTGATCGAATATCATAAAGTATGTGTTCGGAAAATTGTTTATTAAAAAATAGTTTGTAGTCCCAATTTTCTGAACGCATACTTTCTGATATCCGATCAACTTGATTTTTTACAGGTATAATATACTGAATAAATCTAAAAATATGAACGGTTCGGATTATCAAAACTGGGCCTCAAAGTGGACCCGAAGGCCCCTGCAAGGAGGGAATTAAGGAGGGAGCTCAAGGAGGGGATCTGGACTCATGTGTGAGAGTCTTTTTTATCGTTTCTTTTTGGGTTGGATTCGATCTTCTTACCTTCCACGATGCTGCGCGTAAATATGATTCGATCTTCTAATCGCAACGATCGTATAATCTACGGCGCAAGGGTGTCTATGTCTTGAGTAATATTATTCCCATTTCACATAGATAATTTTTTAAGTCTTAAAAAATATTTAGGAGAAATTATAAAAATAAAATAAAATAAACTAGGACTTAACCCTTTTAACAAAATAAATCATAAATTTTTAATTTTATCGCTTTAAATTCTAAAATTTTAATTTATTTTCAATATAAATCATTTACTTATTTTCATGAAATAAAATTATGAAAAAATTAATATTTTAGTTATTAAATTCAATAAAAAAAATTATATTTTAGACATTTTATGTATATGTACTTTGAGTTTAATGATTAAAATAGTATCTTTCCATCGATTTTACTTAATGAAAATAAACAAATATTTAAATTGAAAATAAATTAAAACATAATGATTTAAATTGATAAAATTAAAAATCTAAGATTCATTTTATTACAAGACTCAAATCCTGAGATTTTTTTTTTATAATTGTTTCAAATATTTTTTTTTTCAAAAAAATAACCATTAATCTTTTTTTTTTTTAAGTTCAAACCCATAACTTTCTTATTTTAGGGCCAAAGACCTAATCAACTGCACTTTTAAATTAGGAATGAAAACGGATGAGATAGGGTGGAGTTTGTGGTGGTGTCCAATTCTTCATCTTGTTCAATTCGAGGACATGGTAGGATAATTTGTAACTCTTTAGAGCAACATTACAATCTATTTTGGCTATTTAAAGTACTGAAAAACTTGACCATTTTTTTTGCAACCTTTTTTTTTTTTTTTTTAGCTGCGCAAGAACATTACAATACTATCCTTTATTTTTTTCAAGCCAAAAAAAGTACACAAAAATACATCTTTTATTTTACCTAAAATAAGAACAGAACCTTTGGTGTGGAGTGTTGGCCTAAAATTTTCCAATGGTTCAGACTGTCCCATGATTTATCACAATACAATCTATGTTTGTATTCAAAATAACACAATTATTCGTGAATGACATGAATGTGTTTATAAGTGACGAGCACGTAGGTTAGAGGTTATATAGTTACATTAAGTTTAATGATTAAAATATTATGTTTTATTAATTTTACTTAACAAAATAGATGGATAATTTACATTGAAAACAAATCAATATATTAATATTTAAATTGATAAAATTGAAATTTTAAAATTTTTTTGGTTACAATGATCAACTCTTGCTTTTTTATTGTTTTATTTTTTGTTATTTTTCCTAATATTAATATTGTAAAACATATATTAAAACTTCATTTTCAAAAGCGTGCATTAGCCTCTGTCAAACTTAATCAAAACTAAGAGTACATAATGGAAAATTAAATTTTTTTTAATATCATTATTTTCAAAAAGTAACTCTTTTGTTTAGCTTATTTCAATTATTTTTATATCATAAACTATTATAAATAATAAATAAATAAACGAAATGCCATATAAATTCTCAAAAAACATAAAAATAAACAGCATAAACAGTCTTAATAATTTGCACCAAACCAGCCCAAGCCACACAACCTACAATTTGATATAGGAAACTAATATTCAATTATCATTACGCATGATTTCTGCAACTTTATTTAGATGGAAGAGATAATAATAAATAAAAAAAGCTAAAATATTTTACTTGGTTACTTAAAGAAGAGCAATTATTGAGGTACATGTATTTGATTCAAACATCTGGTCATAAAAAATAAATTAAATTAAATTAAATTTTAAAGTAGTTATACATTTATACAACACTCATTTTTTACAACCAAAAAAAATAAAAAAATAAAAAGAACGTACAACTATTTAAAATATATTATCAAAATCCAACAACATTTAAATTCCTTTTTGTTTGGACGACAACTATTTTCAATGGAAAACATTTTCAAATAATATTTTTCTATATTTAGTGATAGTAGTGATGGGACGAAGATGTAGGAAGTAGTGTCAATGGAAAACATTTTCAACTATATTTGGTGATCGCAGTGATGGTACAAAGATGTAGGTAGTAGTGTCATGGTGGTAATAGTTATGGGACAAAGATGGGAGGAAGTAATGTCGTGGTGGTGACAACAATGGTTATAGCGGTGGCGACAACAATGGCTATGGTGATCGCAACGTGGTGGCGGAGGTGAGATTGAAAGCGGCAATGTGATGACATAGTAAAATTTTAACTCAACAAATTTTTTACCTTCTAAAAGAAAAAAAAAAATTGCTTAGATAAACTTATTCTCTGTTAATCATGAAAATTTTTCATTAACTTTCATTTTTTATTATACTAAACGCAAAAATAAATAAATAAATAAATAAAATAAAATATTTTTTGAAAAAAAATTCGTCCAAACAAAGAAACAACACGTTAAAAGATAAGAATAACGAGGAACCAAGCTAGAAAAGAAGAGACAATAATCATCAAAAGCAAAACAAGAACAATAACAAAAACTCAGTCAAATCCATGTCTACTTTAAAAGTCCAGGTAGTGAGCACCACATGCAATAAAGCAATAGCAATTTCTAAGACACATTCAAAAACCCTTGAATAAATCAAAAATAGTAAATCACAAAGAATACCTTGCAGTAATATACAAATACAAACACAAATTGTTGAAACAGATGAGAACTACACTATCTGCCCACTACCCCATTATCCAATTTGGCTACACATCTCTGCCTCTGCAAAAAGAAAGACACAAACTTCATGTCTGAATTCAAATTTCGTTGGCACCAAGAAAAAAATTCACTATCTATAATACTGGCAACTGCTCTCTATAATTACACGCGGGTGTGTCACCTCTTCATTTACAAGATTAGCATATCCTGTGGCTTGAATACACATGGGATTGTAGCTGTGGTTTGTGTTCCTAAAGAGGTTCAAGTGATCCGCTTTTAAGCCTTTCCATCCGGGCCTGTAGCCCAGATAATGCCTTCTCATCCATAGGAAGAACTCCGCTCTGTACAGTGTTATCTGCATTAGCACGGTCCTGTGCATGAGAATTAGAGAGTGCGTGTGCTAAATTGCCGTTAATGTGCATTAACGGCCTGTTTCCGGAATCCAGGTTGTTCCCAGTAGCTGCTGCTAACTGGATGCTCTTCATTCTCTCTCTTATTGCATCCAAGGTCCCACTTGTAACCGCAGTCACTACATTCATTTTGGAACTCTTTCCATAAGAAACACAAAACAAACACAGAATAAAGCCAAACACAAAAAACCATCACGATAAAAGTTACCTCCGGGTGGAAAGTTATCGTTCCTTTGTTCACCCAAATACTGTCGCAGCTCTGAGTTATCAGATGTAAGTCCTCTTACCCTCTCATCTTCAACATAAGACGGCGGTAAACTAAAATTTGTGGGCTCAACTTTAGTGTTAAGAGATTTTGCATCACTTAGTGAATTTGTAAGGACGGGTGATAAGGGTGCAAACTTCGGGGAAGAAAGGTTTATGGCAGCTGGGGGAGGGGTTGGCATCGGTAAACTTGAAGGCGTCCTTCCTGCTGCTGCATTCTTCTCCATCTGCAATAAAGAAAAAAATAATATCACATTAACTCCAAATGTCATCATTAGTTAGAACATTCTTTTTTTTCTTTTTTCTTTTTTGTGGATCAACGACAAAGAATTTTAATGATAAATCAAAAAGAGACGAGGATGAGGCATCCTCTACAATTAAGAAAAACAAAGGAAGAAAAATACATAACCCAAACAAAGTTGTTTAACATAACCCAAATAAAGGAAGAAAAATACATAACCCAAACAAAGTTGTTTAACATAACCCAAATAAAGGAAGAAAAACACATGATCCAAACAACAGAACATTCTATTGTGAAAGGTGTTTAACAAAAACCTGGACTAAACCATCTCTAATGTATGTTCGGAATGCCTCGCTAGCATTTTGAAGCTGAGAAAATATATCAACCTATAATAAAGGCAAAAAACATTAGAATCTAATGAATTCATTAAATAAGTAGAAAGCTTTAGACAGGAAAATATATCAATGTCGTTCAAAGAAGCCCTAATTGTAAGAATGCCTCTACCTTGGGATATAATTGAGTGATGCGGTATAATTCATATAAACCAATAGTGCAAGTTTGCTTGTCACCGATTTTCTTGAAAATTGCAGCAAGCTCTTGCTGTAAAACACAAAATCCAAGGCAACTATATCAGGCATACAATACTACAATCAAGACCAGTCAGCTGAAACAAACATCTGAATATTAAATATTGCAGAGGCCACCATCATAATACCTTCAATTGTGCATCTGCAGAGTGAGTGGCAGGTGTTGGGTTGTTGGTTGTTGAATCGCCCCAATGTGTTTGGCCAACAGGTCCGGACGGAGTCAACATTCTTGCCGCAGCCAGAGTCTGGTAGATTACAAGAAAAGGAAAAATATAAAAATATTTATAAAAAATAAAAATAATAAAAAAACCCACAAATAAAAACATATTCAAGTATATGCTAACAACCACGGTACCTGAAGATTAAGATCAATATAGGCAAGAATAATAGGCTGAGGTTCCATGTCTATTGGAACCATGGAAAGATGACCCTTGATTGCAGTCCCACGAAGTTTAACGAGCTCATGTAGAACAGTTTTAACCATACGCAATGGTTTGTCATCGGCTCCAGCTCTTTCAGAAATTCGTAAAATAAAAGGCAACCAAAACGGAAGAAATTCCAATCAGTTCATAATATCGATCCTTACCGACAAGAAATCATGACATATACATTATATTTCAATGATAATACTATAGAAGGAAAATACTCGGGACCCCCATTTTGGGGGACCCCCATGACCACCAAATGATTGTGATTGGTCGTGTGTATTTGTTTTTTGTTTTTTTTCCTTATCTCTGACACGTGTGGGGGTCATGGGGGTGGAGTGTTTTTGGGGATCTGTATCATTTCTGATTATAAAAATGGATCAATAGATACCTTCTCCTGATTTCTTCCATCCCCAATTCCTGCAGGTATATGTGGATACTTTGAAGGATACGGTCAAGGTCAACCTCATATATAGTACTTTGAAGAACCTGCAACACAGGGAAGCAAAGCTGACATAAATAAAACTGCACAAGGAAAAAGCAATATCAATGGCAGAAATGTTCTCAGGCAACATTTTTTTTTCTCAAAAAGAGTTATTTTCAGAATAAAAAATAGGTCCATATAAACTTCCCTGAACAATCATTTTAATAAGCCAATCATGTGAAGTGTCTCTAAGTTATAAATGCCCAAATATTACATATTTCCTTCGATAGACTATCAATTAATCTCTCCAAGCTCCAGTTTCAATTTGAACCACATGCTTTAAATTTTGCTAGTGCTTTCTAAATGTACTGATTTGAGGGTTTAAACTAAGAAAAATGATAAATGAAGGGGGATGGGAGGAACATGGAGAGAAAACCTCTGGCAATATCAGGTGAAGTTAAATTCACTAAACTAAGAAGAACTAGATATAACAAGAAGTTGGAGGCACATTGACATAATTATCAAAGTTTGGAAGGCCTAAATAGAAAAATTAAAAGTTCAAGTTTATATTAAAAATGAAAGCAAAGTTGGAGGTACTAATTTATACTTCGTTTAATAACATCAAAGAAAATAGATTACCCAATTTTCTTGGATGTTGTAAGCTGCTGTCCAATTAAAATGGGGAGTTTGTTTAATAGGATTGATGGAAACTAAAGAAGAGGAAAGGAAGAATGATGGAAATGAATGTTTAGGTGAGGGGTGAGGGGTGGCTTTACATGTTACCATTAATCCTTGCATATTAATATAGGTTGTAAGGGAAGGAATGTAAAAGAAAGGGTTCATCCTGTTGCATTTCTGTCAACTTCTGGATAGAATGGAAATGGGCTGCTAGGTAATGGGTTGAAAATGAATGCCCATTCAAGCCTTGCATTCCCTTTCTCTTGTTTGATATGTCTTAGATAACTAGAATAGCCATTTTATTGGAATGATTATTCCAACAAAAAGTGTGAATACCTATTCCTTCCTCCAAGCTAAGTAATACGCATTCCATTCTATCATGAAATCAATCTAATACAGATTCATATCGGCAGCAAAACAGTGTAACGAAAATAGCATTCCATTCTATTCAACCTTGTATTCCATTCACACTCTCATTCCATTCATACGTACCAAACATAACCTTTTACTCATCCACATTCCTTCCTAAATAAGAGTACGAACTCTCACCATCAACTCCCATTTCTTTCCCTCCTTTCCTTCCTTCAACTCCTCCAGCCTACCAAAAGAAGCAATAACTTCATTACCCCGGATATTAACCATAAACACTAAAGATACCCAGTTCCAAGAGGAGGAAAAAATGATGCAAACTACTTGTCTTCCATTTGAGACTCTCACACAACTTCCATAGATAAGATAATTCTTCAAATTAATGACAAGGCCAAATAAGTGGAAATAGCATCAAGCCAGAAACTTACTTTTGTGAGCTTGATCAAACATTTGACAACCAAATCAGAGAACTTCTGATTTCTAGAGGCAAAAGACTCATTTAATGCTGGTGATGGCCACCTTGAGGGGTCCAATGGACGTAAGAGATTAATCAGGACAACAAATGATGATGTCCGTTCTGCATTATCCTGCATTGGCAATATGTACTCAATATACAGATACAACATACTCCAATAAGAATAATACCAAATAGGTGCTCTATGAAATAAACTTGCCAGAATTTTCAGCATCAAAACATTCAATGCTTTTAGAAGTTGGCTGCCATCATCCATCCGGGGAACCCTATCATCCAAGAGCCAAAGCAGAAGCTCAGTGACGAGACTGTCAAGAGTACTCTCCTTCACAGCATGTGCAATCCGTTTATTTTGAAATATCTGCAACAAATGAATCACAATGAACAGAGACAAAAAACACAGGATATATCTTGCATCAAAAGTTTCTCAAATTTCTCCATCTTATGGCAATCAAATGAACTATCAAACAGAAAATGCACAGATGGATAATAAAAACTACCTGCATTAATGTGTTCAGGACATATTTACATGACCTTGAAGAGGCACCTGTGAGACTAAAGTCAAATGTCTTGGCTACCTGTAATAGATAAAATAGTTGATGAGATTTTGAATTTTTATAAATATTATAACATTAAAAAGCCAACTGAGGTCACATCAAAAAAGAAATGTGCCTCACTGCCAAGATCAAACAATTGTTACCTTGTTAGCTAAGCACGAAACAAGTCTATCAGCATCTTTCACAACATCATCCATTGCACTTCCTTCAGGATCGTTGGTTGCCTGGGCTAACTCATGGCAGACAACTTTCATTCCTTCAACAGACTACACCATAACACAATACTAAAAGTCAGGGTTGAGAGAGAAAGAAGGGTGGTAAAAGGGAGAGTAAGAAGCACAAAGATTGACTATTATCACTTTACATTCGAGTCCAGTAAGACTGACTATTATCATTAAGGCCAAGTTTGGGAAGACTAAATAAGTGCACTTTTTGACTTTATTGTATTATGTGTAGAAAAAGTAGAGAGGAGATGTTGATTGATGTGACCCAAAAAAGATAAAAAGATGAAATAAGTGCACTTTTTTAAGTTAGCCAAACTTAAATTTACAACTGAACACGAAAATAATCACTTTATATTCGAGTCCAACTCGTGACAAGGGAAACAGTTGCATGCACATGCACTCCTTTCCTTTTCTTTTCACTATAATTTTCATTGAGTCATTCCACTGCAGACCCAAGGCCATTTGAATTTGAAGCCAAAAGAGAGCCTTGGGGTACACTCACTTTTGCAATTTTGTCTAGGCTCTTAAAGCTAGAGCTATGAGACCGACCCTTTCTCATTGAACTCGTCGGATTCTGAATCAGCAGCTCCAACTTAGCAGAAGGGGCACATTCTCACCCCTTAATCAACATAGGGCCCGCAACTTGTGCCCTTTTTGGTCTGATTCAATAAGGCTCTCATTGAGGCCTTACTTAAAAGGGCCTCTCAGCCCCAACTAATCCACCATCACCGTGGATGTTGATCACTTGAGAATTGAAGTAACACAAAAGACAAGGAGATCCTCAAATAATTGGACAACCATATATAGTGCATACAATGGTAAATGTTGTTTCAAGGACTCTGCTCCTCGCATGAGAAGAGTTTGGCTCGACCTATAGGCTCACTGACATCAATTTCAAAAGAATAAATAAAATGATAAACGGAATCAAAGAATGATTAGTAACTTGTTTCTATTTGTTTACAACTTACTTTCCCCCATTTTCTGCAAGTAATTTATTATTATTTTTCCTTAAAGTAATTATTATCACATATTGTTTACAATTTGGATGGTCAATAGTGCAGTGGGATTTTCAAGACATTCTACCAAAATTTTTTATTTACTGTCCATTCATCATAGGTTTTGCCATACACTTGTGTCATCAAATCAGCAGTTATCTAGATGGCTCAACCAAGTACACCTTAAACTAACACACGCGCACACACACACAGAAGGTACTCAAAAAAAAGGAGTATATTATGCATCACAAAAGATATTCACATCATACAGGCTACAGCTGAGTAGGCATAATTGCACAGCTACGCATTATCTGTTTCATGCAATAATAGTCAGGAACCCAGTGGACTCTTATAGTATTAGCTTTTGTCAAGAATTTTAAGTGAAAGGAATCAATGTCAAATTTAGAGAAGTTCAAGACGTACCCAATTCCCCCCCCCCCCTCTTCCCCTGCGCAAGGGGTCCAAACTCTTAGAGAACCTGAGTCACTAACAAAGCTTGAATGTAGTACCAACCTGTACCCAAAGTTTTTAAAGGCGAATGCGTACCTCGAAGCGTTTTACCCTTCATGAGGCGAGGCGTAAGCATTTCAAATTTAGTGAATAAATTAAATATTTTAAAATAGTAAAAAAAAATATAAACAAGTAAATATAAATGTGTAAATACTTTTCTCCTTAAGATTTTGAACATTCTACTACATTAAAAGGAAGTTTTCCTTCACTGAAAGTGAAATTGATATTCTTGACTTTAGTGATTGAGCTTCACTTGACCATTAACTGTGTTCTTTTTTTATTGATCATTTACTTAATTTTTCTTGTAGAATATAGTCGCAAAAAGGTTTTCTTTCTATTTTTTTTTTATGTTTAAACAATCTATTAAACCCCTGCATGTGCGTACCCCTCACATGCTTATGCGCAAAAAGCACACTTAAGGCATATGTCTCAAACTGTGATACGCAAGCCTTTGGGAATTAATGCCTAAAAATCAAAGCCTTGATGCGTTTTACCTTAGCCTCGAGGCGAGGCAAGCATCAAGGCGAGTCTCAGGAAAGCCTTTTAAAACTCTGCCCGTACCAGACAGAATGTGTAATTAATTACTGGCATAAATCATTATGGGTGTTCATCACATCTATCCCATGGAGCTCTACTGGCCCTATAGTCAGGAAGCCAGTGGACTCCTATAGAATTAACTTTTGTGAAGAATTTTTATATGAAAGGAATGAGATGGGAAATTTGCAGTAGCTCAAGACGGGCCAAATTCCAATTCCCCCCCGCGGCAAACACGGGGTCCTAGCTCTTAGAGAACCTGAGTCACTGACTAATCTTGAATGTAGTCCCATCCATACTAGATGGAATGTGTAATTAGTTAGTGGCATAAATCAGTGTGTGTGTTCATTATATCCATCCCATGGGGCTCTGCTGGCCCTAGTTCTAAATATCAGTATGACAAAAGGAACTTGTCCAACGTTTAGGTTTTCTTAGAACCAAGCAAATTTTAACATTTTCCAATCTCTAAATGTTAGATTCCCCCACACCCCCCAAAATATGCATATATATATATACATATATTCCCAACAATCCAAGTGCGCTAACAACAAAGGAGACAAAGCAATACCCAATAATAGAAAAGAAAAAAGAAAGAAATGTAAACAAGATACAAAACCCATTAATGCAAATTCATTCCAGCAACATAAATGTGAACATAACAATAAAAAATACCAAAATTACACAATCTAAAAAGAACCTGCTCAGGGGAGCCATATTCAATGATATCAATGGCTTCATTCCATTCAGTGGGGCCATTTGCAATTGCAATTGTTCGGGGAATTGACTGTCTCTCCATGTGAAGATCAGGATGACCATAATTGTCCCTAAAATAAATAAAGCAATAAATATTAGCATCCAAAACAAGGATAACTAAAAAGCCATATGCATATCAAGATGAAAAAAGGAGCACATAAATTGAAATTTTTAAATGCATAAAATCCTGCAGTACCTAGTTAAGATTGGGCCAGAGACAGATCGTGTAACTTCACCACTTTGTTCTGCTACATCAGACCTAGAAATCATAAAGCAGACATGTTGAAAAAAGCTAAAATTAATTCTAATTTCCAACTAGACAATACCCATGTAACTTGTTTATGCAAAATATAGTATTTATTTCAGTTGACAAGACTTAACTATGTAGATCAGAAGATTAAACCGTTAGTTTAAACTACACACATTAGATAACCTAAGGGATATGAGTGGAACCATGAACAAGAAGCAATTCCCAATATGGGACAACAATTTAAACTGACTGGAAGCAGAGAAGATGAAGAGACCATCACAGAAATATAAAAATAAATAAAGACAGCTGAGGGGGGAAAAAGCATGTTAGAAGTTAGGTAAAGAGTTGCCATATTTTGGAAGGGAAAATGACACCAATAACCCCAATATGTAGACCCAAAAAAGAGGTGAAAATTGAGAAATTCAACTTTATACTTTCTTGTGAAGATAAGGGATTATTCAGTATCATAAAAATCTGTTTCACATTTGCTCTTACAAAGGTGCATGCAACAGATGGTGCTTAAAAGTACAAGCATACTAGCACATGAATTACTCATTCAAACATCGCAAATATAAAAAATAATAAAATAATAAAAAAAACAATACCAACAGAAGGATGGCCAAGGGTACAGTGCAAATGCAAAGAATATTCATCTAAGAGATGACACCAAATGACTTGATCATCGTACAATAATGACAATTAACATAGTATCAATATACAAAACACATGACCATACTTAGTCCATTTGCCAAAGAACAATATCTTTCTCAAAAAGCAAGAGCCCCATTAGAATGAAAAACCAAAAGAGGAAGGAAAAAAAAATTTTTTTTTTTTTTAAAATGGAGCTGCTTAAGTTCATTCTGAAAAATAACATAATTTCCGTAACGGTAAATAAGAGCTTGTTACTCGAGAACAATACAATGATTGCATTGGACCCGACACCTAAAGCAGCCAGAAATAACTAAAGTGATAATGGGTTATCTACAAGGCAACACACGTCTTTCATGTTAGCATATACAGAAAATATCTTGCCCAAGAAGTGTTGGCTACGGCTTTACATGCAGAGTATTAAAACAAATATTAGTCAGGATCAAGACATACGATATTAATCATTTTTTATTTTTATAAGAAATAGGGCTGCTCAAAGAACCAAGAGACCCAATTAATCCGATAGAACTGACTTGACCAGATTGAAAAGTCAAAATGGTTGGTTAGGTCCCAGTTGCACATTTTGAAAAATATAACAAGTGGTCGATTGTCTGTTTTAGTCTGAATCCAACCGACCGTAAATGTAAACAAAGAATTACACATGTCAATAGAAATGAGAAGAGGGATTACCCCCCCCCTTCTCCTCTCTCTCTCTCTCTCTCTCTCTCTCTCTCTCTCTCTCTCTCACACACACACACACACACACACACGAGTCTCACCCATCCCCTCTGAAACTATGACTGCCTCTCTCACCGATCTCCTTCACAAGACCCCACTCTGGTCTTGTATACCCTCATGCCGAAAATACAACGTATCTGAGATCTCCACCCACACATGACAACTGATATGAGATCTACACGGCAACATGTAACAGATCTGAGTTCTCCATGGCAAAATGTAACAGATTTAAAATCTAAGAATTGAGATCTCCACTCTCGCACAACAGATTTTGGATCACACATGGCGAATTTTGCAGGACCACCGAAAATAGTCTCTCTCCTCTATCCATCTCTCATTATCACTCTTCTTGTTCACCTACGTTACACGGACTCAGGTGTGGGTATCCAGTGTGGGTGCATATCTAGAGGTCAAACACTTCAAAATTAAAATTTGAGGATACGTGGATATGGATCTAAATTTAGATACAGGTAAGGGGATAGGATAAATAGTCATTTTTTTAAATATCTTTATTATATAAATATGAGTTAAATAGTTATTTTTTAAATATATTTATTATTTTTTATCTTACGTATTATTTTTATTGATAATATTTTTAATTTATCCATATAACTTATTTTTAATTGACATATATATATTATAAACTAAAAAAGTATAACAAATAAGGAATAATAAAAGATCAGGATGACCATAACGTTTATATAAATTAGACGCGAAAAACCAGACCTTCCAATCAGAACTTTCCAACCCCTTCAACAAAGCAGGTGTGATCTTTCCACTAATATCTTCACGTGGTAGGTTATCAAGCCCACCACCAGACAATGCCGATGTGGATTCCAATACCTTTACAGTTTTCTTTGGAGCTGCGGATAGATCGAGAGAGATAAAGACTGAGAGAAGACTGAGAAAGAAAAGAGGAGACCGACACAAATGAAGACAGAGGAAAGACGAGATCGAAGTCATCGAAGCCACGACCAGAGGGATCGAAGTCTTCACCCTCTCGAAGTCGACAACCAAGTTCTCACCTTGCTCTCTTCTCTTTCGTTTTTTCTGAACATAGTCGTATCTGTTTGTAAAGTGTTGTATCCCGCACCCGTACCCATGTCGTGTCATGTCGACACGGGTACCTCCGAAATTCTGAAGAGTCCGTGTAACGTAGTTGTTCACTCAAGGAATGAAAACGGCCGACCAAAACCAACCATTTAACCCAATGAGTAGGCTCGGACAACAATGGATGGACAAGTCTCTCACCCTAAATATTTGTTCAGTTGACTGGCTAAGGAGGAATAAGCTTGAACAGACCGGAGAACACCCCAAATCACAAAATGACACAAGGCCTAGCTTTTATCTCTATCTCGTCTAGGCTAACATACAAGTATATCAAAATAAAATAAAACAAAAAGTTGATAACAATAGTCAAATCAAGAAACCATACAAAGCAATCGAGTTTTTAACATTGGCATCCACGATGCACAGTCAAAAGTTTTCTAAAGCAACAATATTTTGTAATAATTATATATATTCCCATCAAGACAAACAACATTATGAACTAAAACTTCAAATTCAATAAATACAGTCCAAACAAAGAAAGCAGCAAACACCTGATACAAAAATAGAACAATAGTAAGCAAGGTGCTTAGTAGAAAGGCAGAGAGACACACCCATTTTCCCTAACAGAACGCCTAAATGCATTTCTTGCTTCCCCAGGCTTTCCCTCCTTCCTTTTGTCCATCTCTCGGGCCTGACAAAATACAGCGAGGTGAACGGAAAAAACAGAAACGAAACAAATTGCAAAATTATGTACTCACCTTCCATTTAAATCTATCATCTAACATGCTCCTTTGAGCATCTGTCAGCTTCCCAACATATCTCCATATGTCATCACCTACCAAAAAATTGAATCAGACAACTCCCTAATAAATCTACCAAATAGCAGTTCTTACCAAAGTGGGAAAGAACCTTTTTCCTTAAAAACAGAAACAAAAAAATGCTAAAAACAGAAACAATGAACAATGGAACCCCAAGAAGAAAAACAATTAAGAGTAAATCAGAGGTTAAATACTGCAGTCCTATCCCAAGAAACCAAACACCAAATCAGTTTACAGGTGCTAAAATATAACTCACCAAAAATTTTATAACCAGTAGCCAGAGTATTTAAAGCAGCTTTCCGAATTTCACCATCGCGTTCTGCTGTTAAGCTTGCAACAATCTGCAAGGATTTCAACTGTCCGGCAATCTGGATGAAGGGAAAACAAATGATAAAAGAGTCAGTAACTTTTAAAGAAGAATGAAAGATCAGATAGCATTCCAATTTTACCTCTGCTCCGTGATTATCAATTAAGAATCCAACAAGATCCACACACTCAATCCGGGTTCGGTTGTTTCTGGAACGCAGACCCTCCAAGATATAGAGGAAAGTTTTCCCTGCTGAATATGCATGAATTATTTGTTTTATCAATTCCCGCATTTTTTCTCGTACTTTCTCTATGTTGTGTCCAGACTGCAGGAAAGTAAGTTAACGTTCAGAAAGAAGTTTAAAATTCTTGTAATGATAACCAAACTAAATGAAAAACAACCTGAAATGTCAGTTCTTATAATAGTATCAAACAGGTAATGGTAACAAGTCAGCTCTGGGCAAACTTTGGGCCAAATTCAATCTTCCAAAAGACTCCAACAAGTCTGACCCAGAGAGACAAAATGATCCACCCCAATTTTTACAGGGTTCACTGTTACAACTTGGGAAGAAGAATATCAAATGTTGAGAAATAAGAACAGTTTGAAGAAAGACTGAACCTTGATTATTCAGGAAAAAGTGTAACATAAGCATTACAAATCATTGGGTGATTCCTCTACTCGACCCTCTTCTATATGTATAACAGAAATCTCTAGTTTGTTACAGATTGTTAATAATCCACTATTAGAATTCTAACAAATCATAGAATGGCATGATATCTATTTAAATAACCAACTTCAGCTTAACCAAGGGATCAATGACTCAACTCAGCTTCAAACTCAGTTCTACAGCTCTTCCAAGTATTGTAACATTCGCTAACGCAAAAAATCGATATTTATAAATACAGCAATAGCTTGAATTTTTTTTATTTTTGATAAGTAGAAATTGCTTGAAATCTAATTATATTGTAAAAGTTTTTCTGCAAAAAGATGAAAGAAAAAACAAGGAAACAAAGAAAGAAGAATATATTGAATTCTAAAAGAAACCAGGTTAAAATGGCCAGCATGCAGATTTCCCATCTTGTTTTAAATTTAGTTAAAAAGTTGCAAATTCCTATTCGGCTAACAGAATATATACAAGCACAAAATTCAAGTAGTTCAGAATTCTTTTACCTTCTCTATCAAGCAAGGAAGAAAAATGGCTGCTTCTGACTCAGTCAAAGTGTAGCCCTCACTCCTTAACATGTCAAAAAGTTCAGGAAGAAACTCGAGTAATTAACTTCGAATAACACAAAAACTGAAGGGGGGGGGGGAATAATAACTGAATTTAATAACAGCAAACACATCACTTGAATTACTGAATGAACATGTCAAATATGAAAACTAAACAAATAATATACCTTCAACAGGCATGACGTGTTAGATTCACAGAATCGTAGAACAAACCACCTAAGAAGTATATCCAGAACTTCAATTATTTCCTTTCCAATGGATGGGAGAGCCTGGAAAGTCAACATAAGCCAAAATTAAACAGGACATTTGCACATTCTTAGTAAATGAAAATACCAGAAGTGTGAAATCAAAAGACCACCTTATGCAGCATCTCAATTCCATCAACTTGCTTCTTGAAGTCTGTGCTGAGAAGCCTCCTATGCAAATCCTCTCTGCAATACTTCATAAGATCATTCTGTGACAAACAGACGATCAAGTAGTCTGTCAAATTCGTAGAAGGAACAACGGCATAGCAAGAAACCATCCACGAACAATAAAAAGCACATACCTCAAGATCTTGAATCTGCTCTAACCGTGGCTCTTCAAATTTAAACTTGCGGACAACCAATCTCTCCCGTTCATCCTGCAAACAACTCAATCAATTGACAGCTGCACTAAACTAATAAAGCTCACATAGACTTGAAGCATATAAACTTCACATAGCCAAGAAGCACGTATATATTATACCTTATTTGAATCCTTCACATTTAATAAAGCCTGAGACTGAAGAGTGATGTCTTGAACAGACATGATTGATTCTGGCCTTGAACCCTTTGTTGAAGTTACTCTCTACCCAAACCAAGAAAAACCATCAATATCTTTATTATTGTTCAAAAAGAAAATAACTTAAACTGGGTAAGAACATACCGAAGAAACTGCCCTATTTCCAGCCCGTCGATCACCATTACCATTAGAGCTAGATTTCCCAACTTTTGATCCACTTTTCGATGATGGCCCCATCGATATTGTTTTAGCCACTTCAAATGTTTCTGGGAACAAAGAAAAATTATATCACAATTAAACAGCACTACAAAAGATAATAAAACCTCAGCAAACTTCACTACAACATACCTTGAAAAGCCCCATAGTGCTGCTTCAGTCGTTCAAGAACAATAGCTAAGGCAGGTCCTTGAATATCTTTCAAATTCTTGGTCACCTAGTCATGTAACAAGACAATAAGAAACTCAGGACTTCTGCTAGATTTTTAACAAAAACCAAAGGAGGCACCAAAAATTTTTGTCAACATACTGCATCAGGACCACAGACTCTCAAAATTTCACCAATGCAAACTTCAGCTGCTTTACGAACATCTGCTGATTTATCCTATATATAAATGCAAAACCATGCAATTAAATAAAGTGATAAAAACAAATGCATATATTGCCCTTAAATTACTTTTCTGAAAATTTCAAATTTTGCAGCAGTAAATACCGTCATAGCAGAAGCAGTTGGTTTTAGCAGATTTACAGCATCAGGAAAATCGCTTAAGCCACTAAGTTGCCTTGATAGCCAATCAAAAAGATCCTTGCGCCCTTCCGTGCCAAGCTTCGCATCCATCAAAGCAGTAGTGATGTAAGGCACCTAATAAAGAAACAGAATTGGAAAATTTATCAGAGAAGCATGACAAATATATAAAAATTAATTAAAAAATAAACAAAATAGAGAAATTGGAACCCAACCATTTTGTCGAGATGAACAGCAGCAAGCCAAGCATCTAAAGTAGTCAGAGTGCTTTCTCTCATATGTTTTTTATTGTCACCAAGGCATTTCAAAACATCTGACAGTATACCCTGCAAGAAACAACTTCCCAATATTAAAGTCAAATTTAAAGGACAATAGAATACAAAGTTAGAAGGAAATTTAGGTTTAGAGCAAACAACCTTGCTAGACTTCTCAACTGCAAGTCCCATTGCAGATGCAACAGCACCAATAGTAGAGAGAGTTGCCATTATCAAATTTTTGTTGCTGTCATATAGGCGCCCTCTAAGAGCACCAAATAACTCCACTGAAAGTCAATATCAAAACAAAAATCAAAGAGAATGGCAACACAACAACCAATAGACAACAACCAATAGATTGAAGTAAAAGAACAATGCCAATGAGTTTAGAGTTTGATACCAGTTCCTATTGGTTGGATGCGCTTATTGGCCTCTTCCAATATTTTATTTACAGCTTCAATAGATTCTAAACGAATCTGGAACAAAAAGAAACAACATATCCAGGAGGAACATAATGAACAAGAGTTACCATTCATCATAAATGTAACACGATGAAACAAGACTAGATTACAGGCGAATCGTTTATATAAATTAGACGCGAAAAACCAGACCTTCCAATCAGAACTTTCCAACCCCTTCAACAAAGCAGGTGTGATCTTTCCACTAATATCTTCACGTGGTAGGCTATCAAGCCCACCACCAGACAATGCCGATGTGGATTCCAATACCTTTACAGTTTTCTTTGGAGCTGCGGATGCACCCTGCAAATCACAATTAGAGCTATAAACAACCCCAAAATAAGAAACAATCAGGAACAAAATAGTGAACCCAACTCAACCATACCTCAAATGGATTTTTTTCACACTCAGCTTCAAGTGCACTTAGAAGAGCAGGTTTGACATCTGAAAGAAATCCCTTGATGTCTGCAACAACAGGTGTATCTTAGAATTCTTATCCTTAACTCAACATATCCCTAGTTTTCACAAACCAAATGACAAGTTACCTGGACCAACAAACTTATGTAAAGCACCAATTAGTTTAATAGTGGCATTTCTAGTGGCAGCAACACTGGATTGCAAACCCGTATCTTTGCAAAAATCAATTAAATCCTATAAATACAAACAACAATATCCGACTGTCACAATTCGAACTAGAACACTTCTACTCAAGGGAGAAAATAAATAAATAAACAAATAAACAAGTCACTGGGCATAATTTGCACTGCAACACTTATCCCTCCAAGAAAACAAAAACATAATTTTATGACGACACTATCTCTGTATAAGAATAGGAAGTACCTTAAGTTTCAGAAGAGAAACACCAAAGTCTTCAACTGCTGAAACCATCCATAGTAAACCCTCACTAAGAACCTTGGGATTCTTATGCTCCTTCATGATTTTGTACAGCTAGCACAAAGCAAACTCAAAGGTTTAGTCAAACCAATCGAATAGGGAAAAACTAACAAATCAATAGACAACCTCCCGGCCTCAGTAGAAGGCTCCATCTAAGCACCTGTTACGAGAAGATGTTTACTACCAGTGAAAACATGAAGTATAAAAAGAACAGCCAGACTTACTCTATCAAAAATAAATCCTGGGCCTACAGCTTCAGAAAAAGTAGTAAGGCACTTCATGGCGTGAGCGCGGGTCTTGATATCCGCAACCCGTTCGCTTATACCTATCCATAAGGCATATTAAGCCAAGATATATAAATCAGCCAATAGATAAAAACTGGCATAATAAAACTGCAACTTAATCAAAAAAGTTATCCAGCCAGATTTGTTAGAGACAACTAGCTCAGCAATCAAGCCCCTAGACACCAACAGTACTCCTGGATGTTTAACAACCTAATTACTCACCATGTAGGCAAAGAACAACACATTTTTTTGGAAACTTGGATGCAGTAGAAGCTATGTGAGTGACAACATCAATAACCTGTTGCTGTACCTGCAAATTTCAGTACATGATGATTAATAAACTAACAGCCATAACAACCCCGCCAGTAAGATAAGCAAAAAAGTTAAATACCTGAATGTTTTTCTCACTCCATCCAGGAACAACACAGAGCAAACGAATTAGGATCTCCACCGACTGGTTGATTTCCTGTATCCCCTCCACCTGCTCTTTAAGTGAGACAATGGCTGCAACAACAGGGGGGTTACTCACTATACATTCAAGCATGATGTGAAACACTTGTAACATGTGCAAAACTAAAAAGGTATAAACATTGTGCAATCAAAGAGACATAAAAATTGGGGGACAAAGTCCAACCACTTTACGATACCATAATCAATATAAAAAGATGAAGTTAACTTGCTGAACCAGTAATGCCAAAGCAAAACATGCAAACTTCTAACAAAACCACAAGCACTGTATATAGACATGTGACACACATCTCCTCTGAACATAGAAGGTCATGAGAGACAATTTTGGGCAAGAGACTAAACCAATAATGTATACTTCACCAGCATGCCATTGCTTTTTTTTTTTTTTCTTTTGGGTAAGCAACCAAAAGATAAGAACCTTAATAGTTCCACTATTAAAGTACTAATATTTTAATTTTTATCCTCCTTTTGGGTGTCATTGTCAAATCCTACTCCAACACAAATACAATTCAATGATTGCTAATTGGACATTGAGCAGTTATATCAGACACTAATTACTTCTCTAGGTAGCATATCTTACAAATGATGAGTTATTGAAGACCTAACAGGAACTTATTCAGGCATAGTTAACTATCAAAGCTCCATCCCCTTTAAATGACCTAAAATTCGCAATTCACCTGAAGTGGGCCCTTCAGCACAATAAATGTTTTTCTCACTTTCCAATTTCCCAATAGGCAATAACATAGCACATAAATTCGAGGAATGGCACAAGTGACATTCCATACATTGGTAAACCCAGCGTCATAAACTTTGACGCTCTTTCATTCTTCCCTTCATGATCACCAAAACTCATGGTACATGTTCAAGAGATATCAGAAAAACTAGGTATCAACACTGGACATAGAGAGAGAATAACCTTCCAGCCGTTCTTTCCATACAGCACTCTTCAATTGTGAAATACTATCAGCATTTATAAGAGAACCTATTCTGCTTTCAATCTCTTCAAGACTCATATCAGCTGGCTGCAAGCATTAACCACACGCAATAGTGTAACATTCAGTGCTAGGTTGATGAGAACAAACAAGGAAAAGGACAAACATCAAATAGCTAAAATAAAATTGTCAACAATTTACCTCAACGTCTTCAGGTTCAGCTGGTTTGGACGTTTTTAACTGTCCAACAGCATCTCCTTTCTTATTGACACCCGATTTTACAGCCCCTCCTTTCTTACTAGCAGGCTGAGAAAACATATAAACCCAATAATAGAACACAAAGCCGCAAAAAAATGTTATCTAACACAATATGCATAAAACAGGACATGCTAAGAAAAAAAAATAAAAGAAAGTACTCACAGCAGCCTGAACAGGTTTCTTCCCACTAAGCATGCTTACTGCCGATTTTTTGACAAATGATCCTTCAGAAGCCTGCAAAAAGATTAACATGTACATCATATCGAAGATAGATAAACATGTCGAAATGACTCCATGGAGGCCTAAATTCATAAGATTTGAATTTCACATGCATTTATTCAAATATTAAATTGATTACTATGCCATGCTTTTATTTTACTCAGAAAATCATTTTACCATCATGAAAATAGAATTGGTGATACTACATGATGAAGATTTATAATCCATGAGATGAATCAAAAACCAAGGCATAGATCAAGGAAATGCCACGAATCACAAACTTTAAGGGTCTAGTAACTGAATATTGAACCTAAGGCTTGCAACACCATGAGACATAAAATTTGCGTTAAGCTTTGATTTTGTCTTCTCCCGTATATAGCACTAATAGCACATTATATTTCTTTTCCCAAAGAGACAAATTTTACTATGAAAACCGAAGGAATCTACCTTGACCATGGATAATTGTTCAGTTCAAGGCAACTCTAGCATCATGGTTAATAAATCAGGATATGAGAATGGTGAGTCTAGTAGATTGAATCGTAGAATCGGATCAAGAATCATAAGATTATCCTTTTATAACAATGAAAAAAGGTAAAAATACCAACAAGGATGATGCATAATGAAGAAAAGGTGAAAAATCACCAACCCAAAGATCCTAACTGCAATCCTACAAGATCCTACTTACAATCCAGCTATAATATACCAATTTTACAACGATTTGGATCTTTTTGACCATTTAGGGTCATAAGATTCTACAATCCCACAATCCAAATCACAACTGTTATTATCATGTCTAGCATATACATGAGAACTCGAGTTTTAGGCCCTTGGAGCATTTGGATCCATTCTCATCCTTAAATGCACACATTAGATGGGTCCCTAGATCAACAAATAAGATCAAAAATGTTGGCTTAAAAAGGGAACATCTTAGTCACTTCCTATGACAGGTCATTTTTAACCTCCATAAAATTTCAATTGGATCTGAAAAGAGTGTGGGCTTTGTTTTGCAATTGGTCATATAGCTTTGTTAGTCCTATGGTTCGGTTTTGATGATGTCTTTGGATGCTTTGGGTGGTTGTGTTTCATTGTAATATATGCTTGACATCGCTAACACAAAATTAGTACCTTGAATTTGATAAACTTGTGCCTACTCTCTCATAATTATCCCATTATCTTGCTTTAATACTTGGTATATTGATTTCAAATCATTGGCATTTGAGCACACACTCATACTCTTCCATTCTAAAAATTGGTCTTTACTTTGGGTAATATACATCAATGTTTTATTCCTTCTTCACATTTTCATAGCATAGTAATTTTACGTTTAAGGTTTTACTTGTTAACCCAATTCAACCCCCTCTTGGGTTGCCCACCTGGGTTGGGTAACAAGCTTGTTATTGTCTTGAAGCACCCCTTTTTCACTTCTTTTTTTTTTATAATCTCATCCATCCATTGTATCTTCTTTTCTCTAATGAAATTCCATGGATCCTTATCTTTTGTAGAAGAGATGAAGGAGGTAAGTAATTGTAAAAGCAGAACCCTTTTGAGTAAGCCAAAAATGGAATTTTCATTAGAAGTTCCATCCACCAAAATTCTAGTGTCAAGATTACTTCATGAAGCCCAAAAATTTCTATTAGTATATAACGCATGGCCATTAATTTGAAAGGCAAGAATAAACTCACCACTGCAGAAGAAATGCTTCCACTAGAAGTTTGAACTGTAACTGGCATATCATGATTATTATCAGAATAGAGAAAACCTCAAAGAATGTATCATTTTTACAGGAGAAAAATTGTAACAAATTTAAAACAATAAAATAATTCAAACCTGAGCTTGTACCAACTGAAACAGCACCAGAACCCGCAATGATTTCTGAAAGCTTCTTTTTTCTAACATCATCCAGTTTCTCCAATGATTTTTCCAAAGGCCTCATGCCCACCAACTAGAATCGAAAGAAAAATGAAGAAACAATAATTAGAGCAACAGAAGTAACTAGCAAATCTTGGTCTATTTCTTTCACAAGTTTGGGGAAAAAAACAAGAATCAAGTTTTACTAGGAAGACATGATATAGTTGAGTAGCAATATGATTGAAAGGAATACCTTAGCCACTGCTGCCAAAGCAGAAAAGGCTGCATCCCTCACTTCTGGAGTCCCATCATTGAGGCACTAAAAGAATTTGATTTAACATAAAATTTAAACAATATCAGCATTATATATGGACACACATACACACACACAATAACAATAATAATAATAAGTATACGAATTCCAGATGATTCAAATTCAAGAAATTAGAGCATAGAGGGTTTTTAAAAAAAATAAAATAAAATAAGAAAGTAGCTAGAGCATGACAATTAGACAGCAACCTCACAGTCTATACAGAAGCGAGACCACTATGCATGCAACATGTTGATCTTACATGTTCACACAATTTAAGCCTTTTATACATGTAAATAACTCAAAAAAATTATACTATGTAATCATCATTCAAAAGAAAATTGGTGAATGAAATAAAGTCGACTTATTAGGGGAAAAAATCAACTCTTAACCCCCAGAATCTATATTCACATTATGGTTAAAACATCCAAATTCTCTCCACAAATCTTTTAGCACCATAAACTTGAGTAGCAACCAAAAAAAACTCCCATTCAGAGCTTGTAGGCAGGTGGCACAAAGGTCATAAATCATAATATCAGTCACAAAAATCTAACACAAACATTTGATATGTCTATGTCTAGATCAACATTATGCATGGAATTTACTAACCTCCATGGATATCGGAACATATTCCTTGTGTACTTTGAGAACAACAGCTTTGTTGCTAGTCTCAATACAAAATGCCACCCAGTTCAAAGTCAATGAGCGCACAAGAGGAACTTTATTTTTTGTCGCTGTCTTGACATCTGCAGTAAACAAATTTTTGCACGATTAGGATGAATTTCAAAAGTAATAGTCTAGAGAGAGAACCGTGCTAGGATTTACAGCAGGCAAAAAAAACTAACCCTCCATTTTCCAAATCATCGCATTATAGAACCATACCAAGACAATATGTAAACCAGCAGACAACAAACAATAAATGAATTCAACATAGCAGCATGTGTTGGCACAATTGTGAGAGAAAAATAAGTACAATTATTTAATACTAGAACATCACCAAATAAATAGACATCAAATCGAATAGATAACAAACAATAGACATGCATTCAACAAACCATGCATTGGCACAATTGTTGGAGGAAAACAAGTACGATTATTTAACACTACAATATCACCAAATAGACATCAAATCCAACTCTTATCTTTTGGAATTAACAAATACAATTATTTAAGACAACAACGTCACCAATAGCCATCCATCCTATTCACAACTTTTATCTGATGGAATGGAACTAACATCAAACAAAATGGATCATCAAATATTGAAGATGGGCATGACAGCCCATAGGATGTAAAAATGGGTAGAGAGCGAACAGAGATGGGCATGACATGACTACCTTTCCCATTTCCTTTATTGCTTTGCAGATTCACGGTAGCTCCATTTCTTAGCTGTGAAAGTTCAGTATTTTTTTTTTTTTTTTGTCCACTTAGGCATTTAAACACAATCAACACTGATGTCTTGCACATCCCATTTCCATGAGACAAACAGATTTGAAGTGATTATTCAACAATATGTAGAAGAGATGACAAATAAAATTTGAATATTCAATGTAACAGTGTTCTACAGCACATTCTCTATTAGGAGCTATTTGTAGTTTGGAAAATTTTATTCATACATAAAATTCATATACAACATCGTTGTTTCTTAAGTAGAGGAGTGCGTCTAGGGTACTATGTGATAAATGAGTGCCCACTAGACTAAAAAAAAAGTTCTATAGAATAGCTATTAGACCAACGATGTCGTATGGGACGGAATGTTAGGCAGCTACGAAACAACATGTAGATAAGATGAGTGTTGCTGAGATGAGAATGCTAAGGTAGATGTGTGGCAAGACTAGAAAAAACAGAATTTGAAATGAGTATATTCGAAAATAAATAGGAGTATTACCCATAGAAAATAAGTTGAGAGAGAATAGATTGAGATAGTTTAGTCATATACAACAAAAACCAACAGAGGCAGTAGTGAAAAGATGTGATATGATGACAGTAGATGGAAGTGTTAAGGGAAGGAACAGACCTTGATTGACGTGGACAAGTGTAGTAAATAGTGATATGAATCTCCTTAATTTAACTAACCAAATGGCCGTTGATAGAGTCGAGTGGAGAAGAATGATTCGTGTAGCCAACCCCATTTGATGGGACTTAAGACTTTAGTTTGGTTTGGTTTGGTTTGGTTTACATAAAATTCATACAAAAAAACTTCACAAGAATGATGTGGCAATGCCATCATTATTGTAAATAAATTCATCTTCAATGGGTGATTTATTTTGAAGTGAAAGGTCCACAATGATCCACATCATTATGTATAAAAATTATGTACGAATTTATTGTTTGTATAATGACTCCTGTAGTTTTGTTGGCTAAAATCAACAAAATTATGCGCATTTATTTAGATTCAATTCAATCCAAACAGATGTGGGGCGGAAAACAACATTATACCACTAGCATTCAGCCACCAGGAGATGCAATGCAGAAGATTCAGAGAGGATAGGTCAACATAGCAGTATTAGGAAAATACTTTAACAAAGCCAGTTTAGCTACAGCAGCGTTAAGAAGAAATGGCATGTGAAAGATCACCACATAACAAGGCCTATTCCGATGGATGACTCAGTAAAGCAGTTCCTAGTTGATGAGCGATTTTGAGATTAACCAATGGAACCTCAAGATTAAGATGGAACCAGTAGCAGTCGAGGAATAATTACCTAATGGTGGCATTATAAATGAGAAGGAAAGCTAAGACAAAGGAGACACAGACACTTCCAACAATACTGAAATTACTTCACTTGGCCATACTCAAAATATTTCCTCTAGGAGCACAAATAACGGTAACCCTTCAACTTTGTAAAAACTTTTCCTCCCTTTCCTTTTCCTATCTCAATCTCTGCAATGATCAATACATGAACAATTTTTCAACTTGCCGAAGTTGCTCCTTGAAAACAACCTCCTGAATATTACAACTTCAGCACGTTTTGCCAGAAATAATATTTTTGTTTGTTAATTTACTTGTGAACAAGAAACATAAGAATGCCTCTCCAAATGTGTGTGCCATGTACAACGACTAAATCAATTCACCAATTGCATGTTTGTATTTTATTCATTTGCTTATTTTATGTGGAAGCAACAGTTATTTTTGGTTTAAATAGTTGGCTGGTGTCTCAAAAATATTGTTTTGCCAATCCAGACTGAGTCCAGGTTGAGGTAGCCAGAAAGAAAACTTGTGAACAAACATTTGTAGGCAGTGATTTTATTTCTCCTAGAAAAATAAAAAATATATTTCAGGGCCATGCAAAAACTCTCATCCTAGCATAAAATATTTTATTTTGAAACAAAAATTACAACCTCATCTCTCTCATTCTTTAATCAACAAATCAGCAAGCTGACTACCAAGTTAAGCAAAGACATTTGAAAAGTCTAGATGGCGTATAGGAAATGCTTTTTCTTCATTGGAAAACACACCTTGTCTTTCTTTTTTTCTTTTTTTTTACCATTTCGTTGATTAAAAAAGAAGAAAAATGATTTTCCAGAGAAAGAGAAGGTGTACCAATTCTTTCGCATTACATGTACCTAATACTCAAAGGAGAAAAAAGATGAGAGGCCCCATTGGAAAATTTCTTGGATCTACATTAAGCAGGACAACATACGTAATTTCATGGAAGCAAAAAAAAATTTAATCCACTACAAGGATTAAGAGAAAAATCCCTTTTAGAAGGAAATTCAGTTACTGTTATAGGTGGTCAAGAAGGTTATACGCAATACTAATATTGTAGGCATTAAATACATGAATTAGTGGTCCTACCCTTGGAAAGTGGAATGAACTTTAAGTGGTCACCATGGTCCACAAATGAAGAGGCAGATGATCGAGTAAAAATAGGAGAAAGAAATAACAATTCAACAGCTCAAGTGGAGGCTTGTTGTGTGTGGTGTGGCTGAGGCGGTTCTTTAGGCTAGCATTGATTGGGTGGCTTCTTTATCGATTCTCTTATTTTCATATCTTACAAAACATTATTTTCCACTTACTAAAAAAACAAGAAAAAAACAAAATGCTTGATCCAAGATGGTTAACACTGAACCAATTTTAAAAAATAAAATTAAAAATCAGCTCTGAATTGTAACTCAACAAGACAAAAGCAGGGACAAGGATCCAAATCATTTTGGTTTTGTAGACGGTCTAGTTTGTATAATTGATGGATACCAAAGAACACATAAGAGCAACACAAAGATATATATAATTCATTCATGAAAAGACACATAAAACTATCAACTGCTAGGTAAAACATTCACAATTGTGATATGTAGAGCTCTGAATTATAAAAATAAATAAATAAACCACACACACACTAATTAAATGCATATTTTGGAAGTTTCCTCATAGGAATTTACTATATATGTGTGACAAAACTGGAGAGTTAATGAGTCATCAAAACAAAAAATTAATGACAGAACAGATCATGAAGGTGTCCAACAATTATTGCAATATATCAAAATTTAAAACGATGGCAAAACCTGCCTTCAACAATGTCTGCAAGATTCAAACACCCAGACTTGTGCATTGCTTGAAGAGTTTGAGTAAGTGCCTCAGCCAAAGTAGGCTTTTTCTCTTTCAGTTTTTCCTATTGAAGAAGAAACTTGTTACATAAAAAATCAACTCAACTAGTCAACTTAAACAAAAAAGAAGCTAAGAAATAGAAGTTCACAAGAAAGCTAAAAACACCATGCTAAAATAATAATAATAATAATAAATATAGGACTACGTTAAAATCTCTCATGCAGCATTGCAGGCATTTCCTTTTCATACAAGCAACAACTTGTTTTTAGACAAATGAAATAAAGCTGAAAAGATTACAGAGAGGAATGAAGTCTGTAAGCAAAATGGATTTCGTAAGATTTATTTAACTGTCAATTTCTTGAACAAGATACAACTTACACCATTGCTCCATATCATCATAGGTAGACTATTAAAAAGAACTGAAAAGGAATATGCAATGGGATTAAAGCCCCTAATAAGTCAACCGATAATAACTAAATAGAATAACAAATAATAATAAAAATAAACAAAACAACAAAATAGGCTAACAAACGGACAACAGAAAAAGCAGTTATTTTCTCTTTTATAACACCAAAATTTTAGTTTTCACAGCCAACATTCATGCCACCTTCCACTGACTTCAAACATAATAAAAGGACTGAGACTGAATTACAAAGAAACATTTAAAAAATTATTTTGACACTTCACAATCATAATACAAATTATGAATAGGACCCACTATAAATGTAGGAACACAAACGGATATGGTAACAACAGCTTTCAGTGATATACTTACAAGCAAAATGGGCAATAAGAAGCGTGAATTGCCAGAGAAATGGGTTCTTAAGCCCCTAGCAAGATTCCCAATTGCCTGGATGGCTTCAACTGCAACAGCTATGTTTACATCTATAATAAGCTGCAAAAGAAAAATAATAATAATAATAATAATAATAAGTGAAACTATTTAATAGTTATGTACAGGAGCAGCAATCCTAATAGAAGCAAATATGAAATCCAAATATAAAAAGAATGCCAATTCAAAAATAAGGCTTAAACAGGACGTGTGATGCATCGGAATGCATAGTCCTGAATTTCAAATCAATGCTGAAATTCACTTTCCATAAAGAATGAGAGACATTATTAAGTTTGTGCAAGTTCACAGAAGCTCAAACAATCAATTCAGTTATAAAAAGGTTTCAAGTTCCAGATGGGACACATGTATGACACAGTAAGGATACGTCAATCCGATAAATATTGAAAAGTGGGAAACTATTTTAATCTCACTATTTTCTTCTTCCCTGAGAAATAAGTATAGAATTGATAAACTACTCTTGTATTTATCTTAACAATTATACTCCAATACTATGCAAAAACTATTACAATCTCCTCTTTTATGGGTAAATATGATTATATTAGACAAAGTGCCAAGGAGGCACAACTCTTATACAAGGGAAGGAAATAAATAAAGAGAGAAGAAAAAGAGAAAAAACAAAACCCCAAGAACAGGCACAAGGCAACAACCAAACATCCACTGCAAACCACCACTGCGGTTCCAAACCTAATCCCCTGTCATTTCTTCTTGAACTTTTCCCGCTTCTCTTTCCAAATCTTTACTGCTTAAGCTTTTTTTATCAGCTCCAAAAATGACTCTTCACTAAGTCCATCAGGGAGACCAACAACATCGTCTAGACACAAGAATTATTACAATCTCAATTTCATACTAGTTCAAACACGTGATTAGAGTATCCAGAAAGTATCTATACTTCACAACATTAAACAAAATTAATTTAAAATTATGGATACATTTAGGAAATGTCGGATACATATCTGTGAGTATCCAAGGAATATCAATCCAATATAGATACAATGATAATGACAACAATAGAAATCATTCACCAAGACATGTCTCAATTTCCAAACCTATTATCACATATAGTAAGAAAGTAACACATTCATGTGATCATGCATTTATAAGTTCCAGACAGAAAAAACAAAAAACAATATGAGTGGTCATCAACAAGCAAATACGTAAAAGTCTGTAACAGACAGCATCTTAATGCCCTATCAACTAAAATATCAGCAAATGAAATAGAGCAAAATGAATATCACATAGAAATAAATAAGTCAGCTGTGTCCAAACACAATGATCCAAAGGGACATAGTAAATTATTGAAAATGTGACTGAATTTTTAGTTGGCGGCGGGGGAATGACCTTCTTAAGTGTCCGACAGATTTCTGTAAAATCACCAGGAGCTATCCTTTTTGTCGACGCTAGCTTAGTTAGCTCAGCAACAGCCTCCTTTCGCTCTGACCACTTCGCAGCTTTCTAATACATAAAAAGTGGCAAAATATTTCTTAAAAAAACTAATAAATTGGCTTTTCCTCACATTAATCAGAGAGCACAATTACAAACTAGAAGTACAGCAAATATAAAAGTTAAAAGTCAGTGAATAACTTTAAAAAAAGATTTGAGAGGACTGACCACTCCATCCCAAAATCCTGTCTTCTCCAAAGGAGTCAATATATCAACAGGATCAACAAGTTCATACTCGTCAATTTCCTGAGGAGCTGACAAACAACACGAATATCAGGTCCAAGCATTCAATGGAAAAAAAATTAATACAGAAATACTTCCAAAAAAAATTAAAGAAAGCATTCAATGCCGAAATTCAGTTCTCATTAAGCTCAGACTACAAACTCTTTCAACTTCGTTTCATCCATCCAATACTAAAAAAACAAAGCAGAAAAATTCTAATAACTTCACAGGTTGGATCACATACTATCTGCAACACATTCTTCAGAAGGGCCAGAGCCCACAACTTCAGACACAACTACTTGCTCTGGCTCCTTGTCTTGCTCAGATCTGGGGGTAAAAAAAAACCAAAAGATAAATTAATATTAGAGAATAAGCACTTAGTTTGTGGTGATGTCCTTTAGCTTTAGCCAGTAAAAGAATTAATGGTGGTGTTTGGGAAGTTTATGGATTGGGTTTTTTTTTTATTTTTTACACTAAAAGACAAACTTTTTGCAAAACCAAAAAAAACAAATCCAAACAAACATCACATCCAACCCCATAATCATTTCACTTTTTCTCTTACAAACATCACATCCAACCACAAAAAAACCCAACTATCTTCCCAAACACCAAAAATTTTTTATCCAATAATATCCTACAACTAAAAAAACCTACATAAAAACCCACTTCCCAAACACCCACAATATCAGATATGCATTCGGTGTAGTATTACAAGAATTGAAGACATGCAAAAATTCAAGCACAAGCAAATCAACAAGAAATGAGCCCGTTCCAGTTTTGAACCAATTGAAAATAAGGATTGATCCAAACCAATAATAATAATAACACAACAATTGTAAGAACAATTATATGAACGTGCTGTCACATAAATCTAGTCCATGTGAGCTACTACAGAGACAATCTGTAGAAATCAGATATGATGCAACAAGATGATTAGCTAAACATATGAGCAAAAAGGAAAAAACAGTATCAATGACCATAGATGAGAAAAGAGGCCATACAAGAAAATTAACAAATTGTAAAAAAGAAAAGAAAATATATTTTCCTAATGGAAATGGCTGAAGAGCATCACCAAAAACAACACAAGCTCAAATCCTAATGAAAACTACTCAATGAAATGCCAACAAATTAGCCAGTAAATTGAGAAAACAAATCAATATTCAGGAATTCTTTTGATAAAACAGATATGCCTCAGTTTACATAGACAAGCACATGAAATGACTAAAAAGGTACCTTATTTTGCGGGATGGTCTAGCTGTCCCACTGACATTGACAAGCTCAGCCTCCAACTCTTTTTTCTTTCAAAACAGGAAAATAAAAAATAAAAAAACAATAGAAAAAAAGAAAAAAGCAAAACCATAAAAAATGTATACATCTAGAAGTAAATGCACAAACCAAAGATTAAAGCTGATTAAAATAAGCATACCATTGTATCCCGCATTTTCTCAAACAATATTGATTTCACTGGTTCTTTCCCAATCCAACGACAAAGCTCAAGTGTCAATCCTTTAGATGAAGCACGAACATTTTGGTCTTGGTGATCAAAGAGTTCAGGCAGCATCTTCAAAATTCTTTTAGGGGGTACTATCTTTGCCCCAAATTCACTAATTAGAAACAAAACAAAATACAGAATTCCCCAAAATCAGCAAAACACAGAAAAATTCAACATCACATTCTGCTAAGTGCTAACACCCTTTTCTTTCTTTTTTTTTCCTTTTTTTTTTAAATGGTAAAATATGCCAAGTGCTCACCTTAAAGCTTGAAACATGACATCAATTGCTGGAACAACTGCTTTAGCAACTTTGTTTTTAATAGCTTTCTCCATGGCATCCTGCAATGAACCTAATTCTCGTAAAGGTACATGCCAGGGGAAACTATCTAAGCAAGAATTCACATGTAGGGCAACTCAACTAAGCAAATTCTGGCAGTGAAATTTTCAGAAAACATTTTAAAATAATTAACAGAATGAAGAAGAGACATATAAGAATTAAGATCAAATAAAGATGCACAGCAATGATAACTATTATAGAAAATCAGGTATAAGCAATGTAAGCCAACCAAGTACAGGTAATTAGAGATGCCACTTCTCAAGTTATTAGAACATGATTTTTGTATGCCCACAATAGTCATATCCATAAATGTAAAAGCCAAACCAAGTCTAGTACATGGAAGAACAGCTTAATAAAACAAGCTTCTATTCCACACTTGGATCAGGTCATACTGACAACATAGGTCTTTCTTTACAGAATCCAAAAAAAGTAAACTCCTTTGTTTTTATTTCCCCTTTGGGAAGGCAACAAGTGGATTTTGAGCTCCTCGATTGAGATAGAAAGACCAGCAGGATGACAAATTGCCAAATGACACAAGCTACTCCTCTCTCATTCAACTTCTATAGCAGCTACATTCTCCCTGAAATGCTGCACGGCAAAATCTTAGATTTGGATTTCAATCACATGTCTTGAGCTGCAGCTGAAGAATAAGAATTCCACAACCCCAACCCATGAGCTTTCTAACCCTTTGAATTGCTAGTGTAAAACCGATTTCTTTTAAAACCCATCTCTTAAGTTCTTTGATACACTTAAACCAACATTACTTGATAGTGCTCCTCTTTTAACAAAAACTGATACATAATTAACCAATAATAACTAGCAACTAAGACAACAGCTTTACCCACTTCCTACCTTGCTTAACAGTTATCAACTGTGTACAAAAATGCTAGTAACTATGAGAAGTGTTTTATCCATTTCCTACTTTATTTAACAATTATCAACTTTTTTGTTTTAGAAGTTGAAAGAAAAATCATGTTTCCTACATGGGCCCAAATAAGTTGAATCGTGCGGGCATCACCTAAAACATCATGGGTACAATTATGTGAGATTCTAGAAATTGCCAATCATAAAATCAGTGTTAATCCACATCAACAAGCTACAAACTTGGGCAATAAAAAGTAGTCAAGAACAAATAGAAATAGTGATTTTTGTCATTACTACAAGAAATTTCATAGCAATTATTTGAAGGTACTAAAAAGCCAATGACTAAGGCCTCGTTTGGGAACCCTCTCTTTTAGTCAAAAAGTCAAAAAATTACTAAATTAGCCAAAAAGCCAACAACTCATACCAAAAAGTCAAAGATTCTCTTTTCTCTCTACTTTTTGCATATCTTTTCGTAAAAAACCAAAAAATTATCTCAAACATGCTAGTTTTTTTTAGCTCATATTTTAGCCAAATAGTCAAAAAGTTACTAAATTAGCATGTTCCCAAACGAGACCTAAGTCACATAGTCGGCTAAAATGATTACGCACAAAAATTCAATTGGCAAATCCCTTGAAATGAACACTGCACAAAACTTAAATATATTGAAATTGGAATAAAAAGCAAGGGCATTTTGCTTTTAGAAGCTAAAATGAAGAGCTTCTCTATCTGTTTCATAGCAGTCACTAGCTAGCTACTAAGTGCCACCTACATTCTGTAATTGGCAATCATTATCATTATCACTGTAAATTTAAATGCATTGTTAAACTAAACAACTAAATATAGACAATATTCTTCAATTGATACATACCAAGAAAACGTCTACAGCCTCCAACTCTACCCAAAGCAAAAAAACCATCTGTGACTTCTCAACAGTCTTCGGTCTACCCGTCAGGCATTTCGCCACAATTGCATCGCACACTTCTTTCGCGTATCTTTACACACACAAAAAATCAAAATTTGGCCAATTCAAACCAAAAATGAGAGCATGCAAAACCAAATCATTCAACGAAAAATCAAAAAAAAAATGTACTACCTTCCGGCATCAGCATCGGCAGCTTTCAAATACGCAATTAGCGCATCGAGAGCTTTCTCTTGCACCGGCGCATTCGAATCGGCAACAGCTTTCTTAAAAAAATGCCCTAACAAACAAAATCAAAAAAAAAATTTAAAAAAAACCCCAAAAAAAAAAAAAAAAAAAAAAAAAAAAAAAAAAAAAACAATTCAACAAAAAACGACAGATCCGAACACACAATCCCTAATGCAATACATGACATTGGTCGAAAACGGAGACAGATCGACGAAACGAAGATCAGTGAAAAGCAGATCCGAGGAGTCGAAAATGAAACCCTAACAACTCACCGAATTCACGGAGGCGGGGATCTTTGGGATCCGAGATGGAATCGCATACGGTGGCGAGGTCGATGTTTGCGTCGTTCCTCACCTTCCAGTTCTTGTGCGTTAAACGATCCTCCCATGGCAGTTTCTTCGCCTCCTTCAACAATTTCTCATCTTCCGACATTGCAATGACCTATATAACTATAACTATATCTTTATCTAACGATCTCCGTATGGAAGAGTTGAAAGAGAGAGAGGAGAGGGTCCTCTATTTTTCTTCGTTTTTTCTCTGCCGAGTGCCGGCGAGGAGAGAAATGAAGAGAGGGAGAAAGAGAGAATGACAAAACGAAGGTTGAAGAGGGGTGCGTAGGATAACTTTATCTCACTCGCTCTTTCTCTTTCGAAAAAACAAACTGTAGAGAGAGAAAATGATGAGAGAGAGAAAAGGGCTATTTTGGGTTGTACGTTTGGAGTGGCTTAGAAAAAATGGGTAAATTACGATATATGCGTCGTTAAAAAGATTTAGATTAAAAAGATTTCAAAATTTATATAAATAAAAAAAATTTAAATTTATAATTATATTTAATTTTTTAAAATTCAAAAAAAAAAAATTCTTATTTTTATTTTTGAAAACCAATTTTTTTTATTTATTCAAAAAAAATATTTTGTTATTTTTTTAAGTATTAACCAAATAATTTATTATAATTTATATATATATGGGTGTCGAAAATTTTTTAAATATATTTATCAAATAAAATAAATAATATAAATTCATGAGTTTAAGTAATATAAATAAAATTTTTAAATATAATAAAATAAAATTTTTAAATATTTAAAAATTTTAAAATAACTTTTGTTTAAAATTTTTTAAATAATTTACAAAAAATAAAAAAAATGTTTTGTTCAAAAAAATAAATATTTTTACAAAACTCAAAAAAATAAATTAAATAACCAAATTAGTTTCAAAACTTTTTTAAAAACTCATAAAATAAGTTTTCAAAATATACGATTTAAAAATTATTTTCAAAACTCATAATTAAATAAATTTTTTTAACATAAAAAATTATATTTCAGAATAAAACTCAAAACTCATTTTAAAAACTAATCTAAACAAAGTCCTTATCTTTTGATTTTCTAATAGCGTAATGATTTCTTTTATCACTAAATTAAAATAAAAATTGCTCATATATTTTTAAAAATTATATCTTATTTTTTCAGTTTTCAACCAATAATAAATAACTTATTTTATTAACAAATCATAAAATAAATTAACAGTTTTTAATAATATTATAAATATATAGTAATGAATAATTTGTATAATTTTATTATCTTAGAGGAGATTAGTTTTAAGTTTTATTTTTTCTATTAATTCTGTTAAATAAAAAATTTGGATATGTTCTAAGAAATTAAAAAAATATATTGATAAGAATGTTTAGAATTTTCATAATCATAATGGACAATTTGTATTTTAATGGAGAAATATCACATCAGTGGGTTTTTGAAAAAAATAATTAAAATTAAAAAAAAATTAATGAATATTAATAATTAAATTTGTAAATTTTTTCATAAATTTTTTATTTTTTTTATTTTTTAATTTACAATTACCCTATTTTAATCAATCCATAATTGTAATTTAGCTAGAAAAAGAACGGTTCATTTCAACAGCCCCTAAATGCGAACTAATCACAGTCGGTCAAGGGTCCAGGGGTGTGGGTCACACAGTAAATATGGCGCGTGTAATGCACGGTTAGTGAGATGCTCGTGGGATTTGATTGTATCTATTGTTGTTGAGCGATGCAGTTTTGTGGGGTAGAAGATGGGGCCCACATAAGGAGCGGAGAGAAACGGAACACTTGTAAAAAAACGTTTAAGTTTTGATTGGGTGGAATAATCAGATGCAAGCGACTCCAGGAAAGTGAATTGTAGGAGCACTTTAATTTTTAAAATAGGTTTTAAAAAATTGAAGGGTTTTGCTTTAGACCCCCAGTAGAGGTCGACCCCCAGTGACGTGGCACCTGCCATTCGCTGAAATAAAAAAAAATAATAATATTGTTTTGGACCAATCACGGGTCTACACGGCATTTTTCAAAATTGAATAAGTGAATTGTAGAAACAAATAATTTTTAAAATAGGTTTTAAAAAATTGAATTCAAAACTTATTTTGTTATGTGTTTTGAGTTTTGAATTTCAAAAATTATTTGTGAAAATCGAAAATCAAACAAGTTTTGGATTTTGAGTTTTCAAAAATGGATTAAAAAATGCATCCAAATGGGGCTGTGACTTTTTTTAATAACTTTTTACTCAAAATATGAATTGAAAAATCTTGCAGCCCGTTTGAATTTTCCAAATTCTTTTGAAAACTATTTTTTATGACTAATTTCAAAATTAAACCAAATGAGAAGATTTTGATTTGTTTTCAATTTTAATTATTCACTTATTTTTGTTAACTAAATTGACAGGAAAAAATATTTTAATCATTAGACTCAATTTAGATATACATAAAATATCTAACATATATTCTTCTTTTTTCATTGAATTTAATGATTAAAATGCATATTTTTTTCATTGATTTTACTTAATGAAAAATAGACAAATAATTTATATTGAAAACAAATCGAAATTTTTAGGGTTTAAATTGACAAAATTTAAAATTCAGTGTGAAATTTCTTGGAAACTCCGAAGATATTGATTTGCGATTATGATTCAATTTTAAACAATGAATAGCAATCCCAATCAAATAATCATTAACAAATCGGCACAACGATTTAACATAAAAAAAATCACAATAAATTACAGGTCAAAGCTACAAAACAATTCACTACGAAGACAAAAATAAATTATACATGAGAACCCTCAATTACCTGGCGAATCTAGGCCTGAGTTGAACCAAACTCGATGTGTCTCTTCCACTGCAGTCTTCACCTTGGAATTGCTTTGTCCAACATTGAATCCACAATGTTGATGTCCAATCCACGATAAATGAGCCACTCCATAATCCACCAAAACTAGGGGTGAGCATGGTCCGGATTAGACCGAATTTGGATAAAACCAGGACCAATCTGTTATTTACGGTTCTTGAAAAATTGTAACCAATTCAATCCGTTTAAATCATGGAACCAATCCGAACCAATCCGAACCAATCTATTTAAATACGGATTGGATCGGTTTAGGACCACAGATTCACATAATTAAATAACAAAAAATATATATATATATAATACTTTAATTTCATAATGGGTAAAACCAGGACCAATCTGTTATTTACGGTTCTTGAAAAATTGGAACCAATTCAATCCGTTTAAATCATGGAACCAATCCGAACCAATCTATTTAAATACGGATTGGATCGGTTTAGGACCACAGATTCACATAATTAAATAACAAAATATATATATAATACTTTAATTTCATAAAAACATAAATATAGCGCTATATTAGTTCTTCAATAGCAATATGTCTTTCTATAATCGCGACATACTGTTCTAGAATTTAAACAACCATAAGAAAATTAGTTTCACCATAAGTATTTAGACCATTACAAATTAAAACTAAAAACTAACAAATAAAAGTAATAAAAGAAGATATGATGCGGGTTTAGGTTTGAGTTTAGTTTTTTATGGAATAAAAGAAGATACTATGGGGGGAGGATGTATAATAAAAATATAGACTATTTGTATACGGTTTGGATCGGTTCCAATCTGGAACCGTGAGGTTCAATCCGGAACCAATCCGTGGATTACGGATTTTTAATTCTTCAATCCGGAACCGAACCACGGATTCAAAAAACCAATGTAAACCTATCGGATTGGACTGGACTAGATCGGATTATGGATTTCACAGATTCTCTGCTCAGCCCTAACTAAAACTTCAAGCTCAAGTTTCTTGGAATCCTTTGATAAACCACCTCTCTCTTTTTGTGAAAGAAATTAAAAAACCATCCCTAATGATAGTCAATATGAAACTCGTTGATCAATCGATCACCCTCAAATCATCAAGGAAAACAATACATAAATACCCTCCAATAACAAAACCATCTCTTTTCTCTTTCTCTTTAAGAATTTGGACTGGTTAAACCTTAAAACGTGCAAATGACACACTTTATACTAAATAGAATCGCGAAAACTATGGGTGAAATCGGTTCTGTTCAGTCTTTTTTTTTTTCAATTTTTGGACCGAATCGGTTCATTTGGTTCTATACTTATGATAACCGAATAGACCGAAATATGTATATAAACTACGCCGATAACTGGATTGGTGCGGTTTGGCCGATTGTTACGGTTTTGGGCCTCTTTTGTGTTGAAAAAAATACATCAATAATTTGAAAAATAAAAATTAAAACAAGTTTGAAAAAAGAACCCCAAAATGCTAAATGCGATGTAGATTTGTGATGGATACCCTGTTTTGGGAAAAAAATATACAAAAAGGTTGCTGTAAAAAAATAACAATAAAAAGTTTGAGAAAAAGCCCTCCAAAGTGCTAAACGTAATGTAGTTATTTGTGACGGATTGTATCCATCCAATTCAAGAACCAAAAAGAAAAAAGAAAAAAATACATACGACAGTAAATATTAATTCAATCCAACGGTTCAAAATTCAGCAAAATCAAAAGGTTTTCAAAAAGGTTTAAAAGATTACCGTTTTCAAAAAGGTTCAAAATATTAGGGTGTTCAAAATAAAAAGGGTAAACTTCACTTTACCCCCTTGTGGTTTAGGCTGGGTGCAGTTTACCCCCCTGACATTCGGAAATCACCACATAACTCCCATGTGGTTTGTGAACTAAAACGCACACTAACTTATGTTAACAGAACGTATAAATTTACCTTTATGCCCCTGTCTTCTTCATCTTTTCTCTTTTAAATTAAACCTGCATATATATATACACACACCTATTTTATTTCTTTCTTATTTCTTTTGAATTAAACCTACACATATATATACATATATACACATATATTTTCTTTCTTCTACTAACTCTAACAAATTTCAACTTCAAAAATTTTTGATTGATGCAAAACACTAGAAAACCCAACATTTTTCATATATTACATTATATATATACATATATATACTATCAGATTGAATTTGACTCAAATAAAATTTTCATTATTTTTAATAACCCAATTACTATTAGATTGAATTCAGGTCTACAGCCTGCCATGGCTGCAGCAGCGGCTTCACCTGAACAGCGGTAGCTGAGGCTTTGAAAGTGAGATTTCGGGTCGAAACTGAAGAATTGTAGGTGGTGTGGGTTTTGGTGATGGACTTAAATGTGAAGCTTGTTCCACTGTGAAGCTTGTTCCCCACTCCACAAGCTATTGTTTTTCAATCTATCAACATAACGAAAGTAAAAGAGCACCCATAAGTTAGACCATCGTAAAAAACATA